TTACTCCGCTCACCTTCCTGTAGCTATCAAGCTAATAGGATCATATTATTGATAAAAGGGAATGGAGAATGTTATCATCGAATCCAGATCTCTGCACTAGCAGACGGCTTTTTTTTAAAGTACATAATAATAATTAAAGATTTTCTTTGTTATATAGTATTAAGGGGAGATTTTTACTAGACTTGTGAGAGTCGACACAGGACCAACTCTTGAAAGCACTGGCACAGGCATGAGATATTTTCTTACCTTAGAACCCTTGATAATTGCCTACCAGACGACAATCCTACTTCCTTTGTTAAATAGTGTTGGACTGAGAGTGACAGAAGGTTTATGAAATTTGATGCTATGGCTACATTATTTCAATCAATTAACTTTTATAAAGGTCAATTTGAATACATTACAATAACACATTCTCTATGTAATACAATCAATTCATGTTTCACTATTCCCACCATTATACTATCATATTTACAATTTCATTTACAATTTCATTAACAATTTCATTTAAAATTTCATTTACAATTTCAATTACAATTTTCAATTACAATTTTACTCTTCGAATTAGGCTAATTATGAATTAATTATGGACATGTGAGACAAACTGGTATTTATCCAAGTCATTAGAACACCTCTACTTTCTATTCATATAAGTATTAGCATTTTCATTTTCATAAATGAAAATAAGGGAACCCATCTTTAAATAAAGTAAAAGCTAATTGGTGAGATATTTGATTAGATGCTTATTTGTTAATCTTGGACTCAGAAATTATTTAGAATTAAAGGGGCATTCTATATGTTTTGTTGGTCAAAAATTTTTTTTTCTAAAATTTGTGAAAAATCTAGAAAAATGTGTCCCTTAACGTATCTGAATGTTTTAACTAAGAAATATAGCCGTTAATAATTCAACGCCAAACTTTTAAAGTTCGTTAACTTTTTTGCAAGCTGTTAGAAAACTACTGTACTGATTGGAGTAAACTCAACACCTAACTGTAGAGAAATATGTCTCCTACGTATCAGTTTTAACTGATAATAATGAGCCATTATAAAGCATCAAAACTAGGTCTGCTTAATTAACAATTAGTACTCTCCGTTTTGATTAACCCTTTTAAAACAAATTCAGTTTGATCATGTGGATATATAGATATAAATAACATATTTTCAGGTGTAATTTACCACGTTTTTGATTAATGAAAATTTTCTATACTGCCCCTTTAAAACATGAATTGGATAACAAACTAAATATTCTAGAATAATTTCCATGGATAACAGTAATTCTTAAAGGGGCATGTTCTTCATCCTTTTGAACAATCATACTTTAGTCTCAGAAACAGGAATAATAATGTTCACAGCCCACTGTCAAAATTTTTTGCCTTTAAAACCATGTGTGTCCAGAATTATTCGCGTTTGGAAATTAAAATGAGAGTCGTGTTTTCTTACGACTCGGTCATAAACAGAAATGACATAATAGAAATAGAAAGTAAAATTCTTAGTTTGAGGTATTTTAGAAGGAATTGTGTGATTTCCATACATTTCTAGTACTTCTGAAGACTATTTACATATATAAAAAAAAACAAAATATCAATCCCTCAATGGCGAATCTGTCCCTTTAAAGAATACATTATTCTATAAAAAAAAAACTTCAATTCCAAGATATTTTCAATAATATAAAATAATACATTAACAACACAGTTTGTATTAGCACTTGTTACTGGAATAATAATTGTCTACAAACCAGGAAATAAATAAAATAGAAACATGGTTTATCATTGATTACATCTAAAACAGAGGTAGAAAAAATCAATAAGTTCTGATAAAAGATATACAGAAGTTATTAAGATATATAAGATCAGAGGTTATATTAACAGAGGTTATATTAACAGAGGTTATTTAGGTATTTAAGATTAGAACCTATATTAACAAAGGTTATTCAGACACATCAGATCAGAGCCTATATTAACAAGGGCTATCCAGATATATAAGATCAGAGCCTATATTTACAGAGGTTATTAAGGTATATAAGATTGGAGCTTATATTAACAAAGGTTATTAAGATATATAAGATTAGAGCCTATATTAACAGAACTTATTAAGATATATAAGATCAGATCTTCTATTAACAGAGGTTATTCAGATATATAAGACCAGAGCTTATAAAAACAGAGGTTAATGAGATATTTAAGATTAAAGCCTATATTAACAGAGGTTATTCAGATTTATAAGATCAGGGCCTAGATTAGGGCCTATATAAACAGAGATTATGCTGAAATAAAAGATCAGAGCCTATATTAACAGTGGTTATTCAGCAGATATGGTCCTGTCTAACATTCAGTCCATGGGGACAATATAATGAATGAACGAACGAGTGAGTAAACGTACGAACGAACAAACGAATGAAAAAAATAAAATAAATACACAATACCTCGATGGACAGCCTATTGTGGACAAGTGTTCTGTAATTTTGTGGCTGAAAGTAAATTGACATCAGGTGTTCTATGACACATTTTAAATTATCACTTGTAATAATCTATTATTATAATAGACCAGTTACCATATTTAATATTTAAAGTTATTTAAAGGGATATTCACCATATCCTGCAACTCACCATATTCTGCAGAGCACTTACAAAAAACAATTACAACAATTCATCATACCCTGCAACTTGACAAATTTTGCAGAACACTTACAAAAACAATTACAACAATTCACCATATTCTGTAAAACACTTATGAAAACAACTCAAGATATTCTGCAGAGCACTTTCAAAAACAATTACAACAAATCAAGATATTCTGCAGAGCACTTTCAAAAATTTACAACAACTCACCAAATCCTGCAACTCACCATATTCTGCTAGGCACTTACAAAAAACAATTACAACAATTCATCATACCCTGCAACTTGACAAATTTTGCAGAACACTTACAAAAACAATTACAACAACTCAAGATATTCTGCAGAGCACTTACAAAAACAATTACAATAACTCAAGATATTCTGCAGAGCACTTTCAAAAATAGTATAACAACTCACCCTATCCTGCAACTTACCATGCAGAGCACAAAAATAATACGACAACTCAAGATATTCTGTAAAAAACTTACAAAAACAACTACAACAATTCACCAAATCCTGCAACTCACCATATTCTGCAGAGCACTTACAAATATTTTACAAGAACTCAAGATATTCTGCAGAGCACTTACGAAAACAATTACAACAACTCAAGATATCATGCAGAGCACTTATGTAAACAATTACAACAACTCACCATATCTCAACACATAAACAACTCACTGTGGACAAAGTTATTTTCACAGTCACAACATTTATATGGATTAGAAATAACACTGTTATCACTTGACATCAACAATTGATAAATACAACAAATGGTTAATTTACACCATTTTAATAGCAATCGATTTCATAAATGAATTGCTCAAAATTTCATGCTTGAAGTGAAATGAAATTGAGTGTTACATTTTATTTTTATTCTCTTGATTGGGTTATAGATTACTGGTGATGCCATGCAGTGTGCAAAAAGGGAAAGTCAGAGTACTCAAATTTATATATGTGGTTTAAATTTTCAAAGAGTTAAAAAAATAATAAAAAAGATTTTAACAAAATACGAATACAAATAGATTTCAAAAAGTAATTTGGTGTCATATATCGTCATACGAGGTTTCAAGCAGTCACCCACAATATATAGATATATATTTTTTTTCTTTGATGATCTGTCTTTTGTCCATTGGGAAGACAAATCCATTGTCCAATGGTCGTTACTTCCTACTAATTGGCTGGTAACATTACAATAACACAATTTTTACTATAAACTGAAGTAAGCTAATTGCTTCATATTAGCTTGATCATAGAAAGAAAAAAACATTTTACAACTGACAAATACCTATTTTACTTCCTTACAATATCTTCATTATTAAAGAGCTTGTAAAAAGGTTTTTCTAAATTTTTCATGTGTATCGGGGACACTGATAGTATCAATTTGCACCATTCCAATTTTCAATCAGATGTCTGTGGTTCCTGCAATTCCATCAAAACTAAGTATTTAATGACATCACTAATTGCCTTCTGTGATAAGCATATTTTGCGAATAATTATGTCATCAAACAATTATTTTTAGTAGAATTGCAGGAGCCACAGACATCTGATTGTAAATTGGAATGGTGCAAATTGATGCTTTCAGTGTCCTGGATACACATAAAAAATTTAGAAAATCTCTTTATAATCTCTTTAACATACAATTTGAATTCATTGTGATTCAAAAGTCATTCAATGGAAATTTTGTATTGTTGGGGGTAATATAGAATAATGTATAGGTGTGTGAGTGAACGCCTCATTAAAGATAGTAAAATCATTAGGAACAGATACAAGTAAAGTAACAGCTTTTTATAATTAGGTCTACTCCTCATTTCAGTCCAATACTACCTTGCAAATTGCCGCATGTTCAGTTTGGACAAATTGAAAGTTGTGATAAAAGGAATGTGTAAATTTGTTAAAATATTGAAAAGTTTATTTTTAAAGGGACAGATTCACGAAAGTGGACATTGTAGACACCTTAGTCTCAGAAACAGGAATTTTTTCAGCTAAGCTTTTCAGTGTTCACTGCTCACCGTCAAAATTTGAGCCTTCAAAACCTTGTGTGTCCAGAATTATCTGTTTTTCTCAAACTTCCAGCTTTTAAAGGGACAGGTTCGCCATTCATTTAACCAATCGTAGTCTCAGAAACAGGAATTTTTTTAGCTAAGCTTATCAGTGATAGTGTTCACAGCTCACTGTCGTTCAGTGTTAATGTGTCAAATTCAAAGAATTTGAAATGTGTACATAGTGTTTTTCGATGGAACACCAGTCAAAATATTTGTAATTGATGATTAATAATTGTAATTGATGGTTAATAATTGTAATTGATGGTTAATAATTGTAATTAAAAACGAAGGCAGCAATTAATGTAAGTATGCAACAAATTTTTTTTTGTGGTATTCTCAAAATGGTCAAACTGGAATTGCAATTTAACAAAAATTGTTATGGGAGTGTTCAGGTAATAAATTGAATGGAGTTTTACGTCCTACTTTTCTGCACCTAATTGGGCTAATGATGACAGTTAAAGTCATGCAGTGTGCAATGAGGGAAATTGTGTCAGCGGAACTTTAAAAATCATTGTCATTTTAATTTTCAAAATAAAAGAAAAAACAATTTCCAATACCTGTATACACTCCAGTAGGTCAAGGCTCATCAAAATAATAATTTCAAGCTCATATTTGGTAAGTTTCGCTTGATAAAAAAAGCATAAAAAGGACTAAAATTAAACGATTGCATCCTAATATTGAAAAAACAACTAAGAAGGTCTATGAAAAAAAATTGAGAATGCGGAAATTGTCCAAATTTCATTTAACATTTTTCATTGCAAAACTGCCTACCTTTCGCATGAAGTCATGCACTAACTCCATGTTTTCTACTGTAACATTTAACATTGGTCTGTAGGCTCGAGTTTAAACCAATCAAATATCCGCATTATTTCTTCTCATACCTGCTTATGTTATTTCTGTAACTTCCGGTCATGGAAGAGAAACAAAATATTAAATAATAAATAAAAGAAATGTAATAAGAGGGAAAATAGCATATCTTTCTGGTATTTGATTTTTCTGTTTTACTCGTGTATTGATTTTACATGTCTATGGACTACAGCTTTATTGTCACCATTGATCAAAACCCTTTTACGCCCAATTTTAATTCTACCCAAGTAACTTTACATTCATGATCATGACTCATTTTCATTCCATTGCCATTGGGGGTGGGGTGATGGGGGAATGCGGGGCAGAGGGGGTTGAGGGTCGCATGGTTTACCAAAAAAACTGCCAAGCTGCCAAACTATTCCAGATTTTGCTATTGAACTTAACACAAATCATCAATGAATGAAGTTGACCCAGCGATCTAGTGCCAGGAATGCCAGTCAGAACGCTAACAAACCATATTGGTAGCACATTTTGGAAAATGGAAGGAAGCATCGGAATTGTCTGAAATTTGATGTGAATATTCAGGACACATATAAGTACCTCTCTGCCAAGTTTCAAATCGATAGCTCTTCGGGAAGAGGAGGGGGCGAAACAGCAACAAAAACCAAATGATAATAATTGAAACGGTAATGGATCAACCAAAACGGTAACACAAAAATATGTTCAAAAGGGCAAGGGCTCGACCTAGTTGGTAACACATAAAAATAAAATGTAGCCTACTGTATGTAATATTATGTACGTAAAATTAAATCAATTATTATTCAATTTGATTGTCTTCTCTTAATGAGAACTCTTTTATAATGAAAGTAGTATAAGCTTACCTGACATGAAAACAGACTCTGATCATATTTAACAAAATTTACCGATTTGGTTAGTCTGGTACCGTTTGGACTATTAAGATTATTTTAGAAGTATATTTGAGTGGCTCTGTAAGTAAGTTTTGATAAAACAGCTCTGATACCAATAAAAGATATGATTAAAAATTGTTTTTTCAGATAATGACGCTCCCGTCATTTATAGCAAGGAAGTTGAAACCCTATAAAGATGGGATTAAATCCTGTATTTCTCAGATATATTATACACATGGGTTATTCTGTGCTAGTCATCCCTATTCTATTATAACTGGTGTTATTATAACTGTCATGATAATATGGTAAGTATTCAAGGTTGTACATTAAATTTACGATTTCATTAATTTTAAAGGAACAGAGGTGCCATTTTGGGGAATTGATTTTAGTCTTGAATATATGTAAAGAGTCTTCTTAAGTACTAGAAATGTACAAAAATCACATAATGCCTTTAAAAATACTTCAATCTAGGAATTTTACTCACTATTTCTGTATTATGTCTTTTGAATATATCTTAAATTGACGAGTCATTGACATTCAAATGCATAATTCTGGACAAACATGGATTTGAAGGCTCAAATTTCGACAGTGACATGTGAACGCTTTTACTGATTAGCTCAGCTAAAAATTCCAGTTTTCGAGACTAAAGTATGATTGGTCAAAAAGAATGGCGAATCTGTCCGTTTAAAATTAGATTACAATTTGGTTAATTGGTTAGTCTACATTGTAATCTAAATAGTCTTCTAGCAAAGGCCTACCGCCCCAAAGTTAGTATTTTCAACCAATCAAATTTTGTCATGTAAAACCTGCTTCACAGTATTTTTCGTGATAGCTGTATATCATCCAGCCCTACCTGATGGTGCTGGCACAATATATCAGTATCAAGATATGTGTATCACAATGTCGTGTATCGATACTTGGTGATAAGTTTTATTCCATAAAAGTGGGGATTTTTATTATCATATAACAATTTTTTTCAATTTGTTAAAATTGTTAGAACCTTTTTATATGACAGTGGATATTAACCACTTCTATGAACTATATTAAAACCCATGTAAAAGCTGAATCTTGATAAATAAGGAATTCTTGGATAGCAAAACCTAAAGAAGAGTGATATGACAGTTTTAAATTTATGTTTAAATTTATAATTTTCAGTTATCCTCTAGCAAACCGTCCACATCCTGGCAATGCTCCAGTAAAATATACCACACCATTGTCAGGTTATACTGTACCACCGCGAGTTCAACCACTAGTTAAATCATCAGAAAGACATTTATCATATCCTAGATGGGTAAGAAATAGGAAATTCCTAATCACAAATTAAAATTAGACCATTCTTTCGTTTCATTTTTTATTAGCTTTTATTTTTCATTCAGCCATTTCAGTTAGGGATCATTTGCCATTTTGATGACACCCCCAGCTAATCAGATTTCTGCCCTCTCCAACGGGCAAGGCTGGGCTCTATTCTTATACTAAGCTAATAGTTTCTTCAGCCTAATTAAAATTAGACCAAGTTTTTTATTCACTTTTATTTTTAATTTAGCCACTTCAGTTAGGGTCTAAAGACAGGCCTCTTGAATGTTTGTTTGTTTAATGACACTGCCAGGCAATCAAATTTCTGCTCTCTTGAACTCCTGGATTTTGTGACAGGAAAAAAAGGTGCATTCATTGTTCATTGGTTCTCAGAATGCACCTTATGTTCGTGAACAAATGAATGTTCAAGAGGGCAGTCTTTAGACCCAACAGAAGGGGCTGAATTAAAGATAAAAGCTAGTAAAAAAAGGAACAAAAGTTTCGTTTAATTTTTTTTTTGATTTGTCAGTAAATGTGGATCCAATGATTTGGTCTTCTGCCAAGTTTCATATTGCATTAAGGGTCTTTACTGGAGCAGAACATCCTACTTTTCTGCATATGAAGATGGGCAACACCATGCAGTGTGCAATGACTCAAAATCACACCCATTACCCTTCGGTATTAAGCAAGCAGACTTCCAAGAAGCTGAACCACGACGGGTCTAGTCTCGGAAAGGTTGACAAAAGAAAACTAGTTTTATATTTTGATTTTATTTCAGTATGTCGGTAAACCAGAGGGATATATTCAACAAATAGTCGTTAAAGCCACTGTATCGCCATGGAAACCATCTAAGTTAACATTGACCGACTCTATACGAGCACCTGTATCTCTTGTATTTCAAATATTAGATGCTGTTAATAACTTTCAGACAGAAGTAAGGTAAGTATCTTTAAATGCTTCGAAAATTTGTACTAGTATTCAGAAAGGTTAATGATGTGAAATGAAAGGCAGTTTTTGTATTTTAGTTTAGATTTAAAGATAATTATTATAATTGAATATATTCAGATGAACTTGGACTGAGAAACTGAATGTTTTTGTTTAAAGGGACAGGTTTTCTATTTCTTTGACCAATCGTTGCCAATCAGTAATAGTGTTTACAGTTCACCATCGAATTTTGAGCCTTCAAATCCATGTGTGTCCAGAATTATCCGCATTTGAAAGTTAAAAAGATGACTTGTCTTTTTTTGAGGCTATGCCATATATAGAATTAAAGAAAGTGAAATTCCTAGTTTGGGATATTTTTGAAGGAATTGTGCCATTTTCGTATAATTCTAGTACTATCTACATATATTCAACACTCAAACCATTCTCCCAAAATGGCGAATCTGGCCCTTTAATAGAGGAGATTTTTTATTGTGAGACTGACCTGAGGCATATTTAAGATATGCTTCACTCTTATTTTGTTGTTGTTTTTTTATAGAGGAGAAGAGTTGTCTGTTGCTGATATATGTCTGCGTGTATCTGAGGTGGTCACAAAAGGCAAAGTTAAAGGGATGTTACCTGAATATTCCTGTCTTATTTTATCACCAGCTAATCTGTGGCAGAACCAAGAAAATAGGTTTGCTTCTTTAATTTACAAGTATCAAAAGAATAAGTAATTGACTTCATCTCATTAATAGCTTCATCTTATCTCAACTTAAACGGATTGTAAAGAGGTTTTCTAAATTTTTTATGTGTATCGAGGACACTCTTAGCATCAATTTGCACCATTCAAATGTTCATTCCGACATCTGTGGTTCTTGTAATTCCACTAAAAATAATTGTTTGATGACGCTTTTTATGACTTCACTATGCCTATTTTTTGCATTTCTAGATTTACTAATGATGGAGATATTTTAAAAACTATTTATAGAAGATATGGTCAGGCATTAGAAACACCACCAAACTTAAAAGGTTCTTACTTGTTTTGATGTCCATTTTGAACTGACTAAAAGATTCCTCAACAATTGGAAATAAATAAAGTGTATACATATTGATTAATGCTGCGGACACACAAACAGTCTTGGTCAATGATTTTTGTCACTGACTAGAGTTTTCACCAACCGGCTGCAGGGATGCAAGGAGACGAAAAATCTCCAAGCGTTTTTTGCCACTATGGCGATAATCATGTGCGGATCATAAAATTAAAAGGAAAATGAATCTGATTGGTTGATGACGCTCTGTCTTGCAGACGATAAAATAATCAGCGACAAATATGAAACTGGTTTGATATTATAAATCCTGTCGGCAACGTTTTATATTTACGAGATTTTAAATCTGACTGTTTATGTACATGTTATTTAATTAGTGATTTTTGAGTTATTTACAATCAATCTAAGAATAAGAGGTTTTGATCACAAGATCTGCGCTTTTACGAGCTCTTGAATTCAATATTTTCAGATTTGTTGTTTGGTGTACCGTGGGGTAATACAGGTATATCAAGATATTTTAGTAGGACTAAAGAAAGACCTATCATGTTTGCTATTACTATAATAACTAAAAAATATGATCCCAGGTAAGCCTTTAATTGATATTTTGACAAATACTTTCAAACCTGTAAGTTTTTGATGCAGGTTGAGGGGACTGACATGGAAATAAATCCCGTTAAATTACAAAAATTATCCATTCTGAGAACATAATAATTGTGGATGAAGAATTACTAGTGTAAACGGTCAAGCGTTCTGATAACAGTTCCAATTTGAGACTACTGAGGCGAGGTGGTCTTGGAACAGTTCTCAGAACAGAACAGTTGAAATTTGATAGTGTAAACAGTCGAGCGTTCTGATAACAGTTCCAATTTGAGACTACTGAGGCGAGGTGGTCTTGGAACAGTTCTCAGAACAGAACAGTTGAAATTTGATAGTGTAAACGGTCGAGCGTTCTAATAACAGTTCCAATTTGAGACTACCGGGGCCAGTCGGTCCCAGAACAGTTCTCAGAACGGAACAGTTGAAATTTGATAGTGTAAATGGTCGAGCTTTCCAAGAACAGTTCTTACGCATGCATCTTGACCTCTTGACATGTTTTACAGTTTTGTGAGCGGACGAATTTGCCTTCATCAGGGTTATTAGAACGTCTAAAATTAACTCTTTCGTGAAGAGTTTGTGCCTAGTAAATCTGATTTTAGCTCATTGTGTAGAAGGCACAATTCTTGACAGTTTTGGACAAAACTTAGTGGAATTGTTGATTGTCACCCAACCAAGAATAGACCCTATTGAAAATCGAAAAAAAAGGTGGACAAGGCTGTGAATTAAGCTCTTGCGTTACTCCCCGAAATATTTTTTAATAGCTATTGTCAACCTCCCTGACGCTTTGGCTGGTATTACAATTGTGGGCTTATTATGATGGCCATTGCTATCTTTTGACTTTCAAGAGTTTCGTTTTTTTTTTCAGTTTTACGCAAACCTTAAGGATGAAGTTAGAATCACTATTTCCAGAAACATCGGAGAATGTAAACAACACAGAAAAGCAACATATTGTACATTTTCATTATAAAGATATAGATTATGTTGCTGAATATACCTATTTATTTGTGGCCTATTTTGCTGGATTTCTTTATCTGTATTTCTCTGCAAGTAAGTTTGAACCAAGGATGAACCCTATTGAATATGAGAAAAATCGAATAATATTTAGTATGAGATAATGCCCTTGTTCATGAAAAATGCGTTCAATTTTGTAGCTTTTAAATACTCCAGAACTAGGAGAAATTTTTTTATTACCACCAATGGATGAACCCTATTGAATGTGAGAAAAATATTTAGTATGGGTTATTGCCCTGTTCATGATACAAGTTTTTTTAGCTCTTGAACACTCCAGAACTATTTTTGTAATATCATCTATGGATGAACCCTATTGAATATGACAAAAATCGAAAAATATATAGTTTGAGTTAATGCCCTTGTTCATGAAAACGCGTTCAATGTTTGTAGATCTTAAACACTCTAGCAGCCAGTGGGTGTATATTACGTTGCCTGGCAAGCTATCTTTTGTTTTTGACTGTTATGCGTACTTTTACAGAAAAGATTGAAATGGTCAAGTCAAAATGGGGTTTAGCTGTAAGTGCTGTTGCCATGGTGATCGCGTCATTATTAGTATCTGTTAGTATTTGTACATTATTTGGTATGAGACCACAACTAAATGGAAGGTTAGTATTCATTGTTTCCTTAAAGGAACAGATGGGCCATTTTTTTGACCAATCATACTTTAATCTCAGAAATGGGAATTTTTTAGCTAAGCCAATCAGTAGTAGTTCACCATCGAAATTTGAGCTTTCAAATCCATGTATTTTTTTTTTTATTTCAGTGAAATTTTCCCCTATCTTGTTATAATTATTGGTGTAGAAAATGTGGTTGTATTAACTAAATCTATAGTTTCAACTCCAGTACATTTAGATGTTAAAATTAGGGTGGCACAAGGTAAGTATTGTTTTTAAAATCCTTGGCCTAAAAGTAGGCTAACCTACAGGGTCGCTTGATTCAGGAAATCAGCCATTCAATAAAGCAAGCTGGAACATGTTCAATTGCAGGAACAGATAGATAATAATTACTAATGTATAGTCGATATTTAGACACGAATTCTGCATGACAGTCTGTGATTGGTTGAAATGAATGTCAATAGTACGCAACCTTGGTATAAATCATTTTAGATTACAATTGAGACTGAAAAATAATAACGAAACGAAATTGTAATTCAAGTTTGATTATATTTCAGGTCTGAGTAAAGAAGGATGGTATATAACAAAGAATTTATTTTTAGAGCTAGTTATTATTTTAATAGGATTATTTACATATGTACCAGCAATACAGGTAAGTCTTTTTTTTTCTTTACCAATCATACCTTAGTCTTAGAAGCAGGAATTTTTTAGCTAAGCTAATAGTGTTCACAATTCACTGTCGAAATTTGAGCCTTCAAGTCCATGTGTGTCTAGAATTATCCGCGTTTGAATGTTAAAATGACGACAATTTAAGATACTCTGTGATATATATAGAAAAGATATATATAGAAATAGTGAGTAAAATTCCTAGTTTGAAGTATTTTTAAAGGAATTATGCTATTATCCTGCAGTTCTAGTACTTCTGAAAGCTATTTACATATATTCAGAATCGAAATAAACCGACGGAAACAGAGACCTAGTGTCTTTTAGTCAAACTTAGATGAAGGTCCATATGCTGCCAGCAAAATGTTGATTGATCCCTTGACAGTTGTTTGCATTTATTTCTCTTGCAGGAATTCTGTTTATTTGCTGTTGTTGGTATTTTATCTGATTTTTGTTTACAAGTTTTTTTCTTTGTCACTGTTTTATCAGTTGATATTAGAAGAATGGAGGTTTGTTGAACTATGTTATCTTTTGATGTTGTGTGGATTTTATTTTTTGGTTGGATTTGCTTTCCAACGGTACTGAAGCAAAATATGTCACATTCAAAATTTCCCCATCTGTTTCTTTCGCTGCCAGTTTGTCTATACCTGCTATTTTTTCGGCAGACATGGAACGTGTTCCGAACTCTGTTCTAACTTGTTTTATTAAACGTTCTGTCGATTCCATGAATCCCAAACATACAGAAACCACCAATGAAGTGAACTCCTTACTAAAATATCTTGACCTAAAATTCACCTCGGTTGATTTTTTCAGCTGACAGATCTCCACAAACAGAGGGTCTTACAATCAGTCAAAGAAAATGATGCTGCTGTTCAGATAGAACCATTATACCACTGTCCTGTAGCTGGTCATATAAAATCATCATCAAAAACACATAGCGCTAAGTCAGTTCCAAATCTAGATCTGAAGGACATGAATTTGAGTGGCAAGTCTATAACTCCGCCGCCTTCACCTGGAGCAGACGACACATTTTTCCCTTCACCTGCCATCTTGGAATTACCCAGACGTCTCAAGTTTCTCTACTTCTGGGCAAAGACCAGAATGTTCCAAAGAATGATCATGGTAAGGGACAGTATGGAAAATTTTCATTATCAATTATCATTATTGTAAATTATACCTGAAAATATTTCTAAAATATGCTATTAATATCTATGTATCTACTTGATCATACTGAATTTGTTTTAAAAGGCTTAATTTAAACTGAGTATACAAATTGTTAATCAAGCAGTTGGCGTAGTTTTTGTGTTTGGCTTTTTAATGGCTCGATATTATAGTTGAAACCTTTAGAATACGTATGAGACATATTTCTTTACAATCAGGCGTTTATTTTACTCAAATCCAAAAAGCACCACAAAAGTTTACTTTTGTCGTGAAAAAATTAACGACTGAATTTTTGGTTTCATCGATTTATTTTTCAGTTCTGCACCTTTGTTTGGATTGTGCTGATATTTTATAAAACAGGATTGGTGGATAAATTAACCAATCAGAATCATCCAACAGTTTCACCTCCGACCTCTACTGCTGATTCGCTATTGAAAGATGAGATGATGGATTTACCTACTACAAAATTTGCCAATGAAGGCCTTTGGGGAATGGGGCGTGCATTTGTATATGATGATCTGATTGGTCCAGTAGAACATACAGAGCTAGAACTATTTAACGATTTATCTTATGATCATTGGCCAACTTTATTTGGTCATTACAACATTAGTCTGTTTGGACAGTAAGTCATTTAATTCACAAATCAGATATAACGGCTTAGGCTCCGCCCACTCATGCTGTATTTGTTAACCTGTTCAGAACTCTCCAATTGAAGGCCACTTTAGTGTGAATTTTTTTTTAATTTTGAGAAGGAATAATGCTTTTCTATTTTCAGTTATGTTAGTATTTTACCCACAATTCACCTGTCATCTACCATTAATCCAGACATGGCTGTCAATTTGAGGCATTCATCTGACAGCCAATCACTGAAGGATTTACATTCAGAAGACACCAGTAAACCAATCAAACAGGCAGACACATTAACAGATGAAGCTGCAGATGATATTTCTCACTACATGCATATGTATGACCCAGAGCAACTCAAGCTGTACTACCCCAAATCTCAGAAAGAATTTTTTATAACTGTGTGTTTTGCCATTTTGACCGTCATAGTAATCACATATTTTATGGTAGTCATGTATAAATGTATGTGTTCAAGAAATTATGCTAAATGGCGGACATCTTGGAATAAGTTTAAACGTCAACGCAGATCAACTAATAGATTCATAAAGGAATCCATTCCACTAGTTCTTAAAGGGCACAGTCAGGTAATTTTTTGATCATTTTTTTTAGACCTTTTTGAGTTTCGCAGTGGATGTTTATCCGTGAACCGGTCTATTTTTTTTTTTCACTTTTTTATCCACACTTCCGTATATCCTTGAGCTGCAAGAAAAAAAAAAATATATGGTAATTTTGTTCATTGATGATGTGCATGGGTAAACGGAAGTTTGGGTAAAATAGCGAAAAAGAAACTAAACATCCATTTCATTTGAGTTTAAAGAGATTTGTGTTGGTCTTGAATTTTCATAGGCGTATTAAGAAAAATGACATAGATTTTCAAAATATTCAGGCTATGTTTTGCTTTCACCCAAAAACCTGTTCCCTCCAGAAACTCTATAGAGGCATATTGTCACAAGCCTCTCGTCTCATCTGAGAGGGTTCTTCCAAAAAAATGTATGAAAAATTTAATGATTTGGTGCATTCTGACACATGTTTTGTGGCAAAAATATATAAAAATCATATTTTTGAATTCATTAAAAATAAGGTAAGGGTACAATTGGAGGTGCAAGCCATTTTTCTAGGGGGCTCCCTCTGACTGGACTGTAACACTTCTCATTTTTTGATAAGTTTGTTAATTTGTTGTAGGATATTGAATGTTTATTGGCTGATGTACAGATTATTATTAGTGCCTGTCTTGGTGGTGAACTTCGTGTTTGGGATTCCAACTCTGGTGAATTGATATCTACTCTTCATAGAAATAGGTCAGTTATTTCTTAGAAAATATAACTTAAAGGGATTGAAAAGAGGTTTTCTAAACTTTTGATGTATATCGGGGACAACGATAGCATCAATTTGCACCATTCCAATTTACAGTCAGATGTCTGTGGTTCCTGCAATTCCATTAAAACTAAGTGTTTGATAACATCTAATCACAAAGGGCCTTATGTGATAAACCATATTTTGCGATTAGAGACGTCATGAAACACTTAGTTTTAGTGGAATTGCAGGAACCACAGACGTCTGATTGAAAATTAGAATGGTACAAATTGATGCAATCAGTGTCCCGAAAATTTTTAGAAAACTTCTTTACAATCCCCTTAATGATGAAGATATTGCACTAAACTTAACATTTCTTAAGTCAAAACACATATCTGTGGTCATGTACATTTTTATCTTAGAATGTCTTTTGTCTTTTGTAGCATCACTCCTCCAAGAAGAAGAAAGCCATGTCTAGGTAGAAACATTGAAGATAGTGATGCTGATCTTTATGCTGAATATCATGGTGACAGTTTTGGTTTAGACTCGACAGGATCCTCTGAGACTAGTCTCTCAGACAAATCAGGAAGCTTGGAACATTCCAGAAAATTTATTTTTGATAACGAGCCAGATTTATCGAGTACAATTTGCTGCGACTTCAAGACTCCTGATCCAAAAGTATCGAAAGAAATTCCCACAGATGGACAAATAGGCTACGATTTCCAGTCACGATTTGGGAAAGTTTATGAAGAACATTGGCAACTGGTGAACCAAGTTGAACCCATGCCGTCTGCTAGAGACAGTCGAATTAAGAGTCAGGAATCTTCTATCAATACCAGTGGAAGTACAGATTGGGAAAATAGTTTACGAACTCGAAGCTGGAGTGCAGGTTTGTAGGCTTTTTTTTCCTCCATTGCTCAAAATACGGCTTGGCTTGTTGCTTGAAATTTACCAGTAGCGCTTTTAAAGGTACCTTCCCTTATATATATTTTCGTTTATTGGGCGGCTAACACTTATGTCAAACGAAAGTAGAGGTGTTCTAGTGATTCTGAAAAATTCTGGTTTTTCTCAAGAGTCCCAAATTAACTGACTGATCAAGAAAGGTCAAAAAGTCTTTTATCACTTATCCAGCCTGTACATTCACAGACATTCATGATTGGTTAAAATATTTGCAACAGCTACTCGAGTATTTTGTATATTTATCATCTTCAGCAACAGGAAATAGACTAATATCCGTTTTAACTTTCCATATCTTCCTCTAAATAAAAAAAGATATTCAAATACGAAAATGTGGCTAATGCAAATATAACTTCATGTCATATGGTGACATAAAGAAACATGGAGTCTAAATTTAGATACAACAAGTGGATTTGAGTTCTGAATTAGTAGTTCAGAGGTTTCTGTATGATGTCTCTGTTGTTTTAGGAGATTCACCATTCTCTGGTACAGTAATGGGTCCACCATCAGCTATATGGTGTCTAGCTAGTGATGAAGGTCTGGTTGTAGTTGGGTGTGGTAATGGAAGGGTAGAGGTAAGGAAAAATTTGGACTGAAGGAATTTAACATTCTATTTCTATAGATGTCTTTTCTATATATGAAAGATTCTGAAAAAAAGACGAATCGTCTTTTTAACTTTCGAACGCAGATAATTCTGGAAACACGTGGCTTTGAAGGCACAAATTTCGATGGTGAGCTGTGAACACTATTACTGATTAGCTCAGCTAAAAAATTCACGCTTTTGAGACTAAGATACGATTGGTCAAAAATAGAATTTGCCTCTTTTATTTTTGTAGGTTCATATGCCCAAATAGAATTCAGAGTATGTTATCTTCATTGTTGACTTGTCTCAATTCAAAAATTCTTTTGATATGGCCTTTATTTTTTTAATTTAAGTATTTATTTTTAATGTTCTCTAGGTTTGGGAAGCTGAATCTGGTCTGTTTAAATGCCAGTATGAAATGAAGACGTCTGGTGTTACAGCTTTGTCCTTTTCTGGCAAAAGGTACACCCTTTAATATTATTATACTTAGTGCAAAAGTGATTTGGTTCTATCCAAATAACTTCCAGTAGCTTTTACACTAGCAAAACAAGCTTTTTAATTTTTGATACAGTCATTACAGTTAAGGTCTAAGACAGTTGTCTTGAACATTCATCCTAATAACCTTTTGACCTGACCTCATAAACGTTGTGTCACAAATTGCCAGCGCTGGAGAGGGTAGAAATGTCATGGGTTAAAGCAGATGTTATCATTTTAAGTCAAAGAGTATGGATGGATATTTTGATAGTTGTTGGCTGGAGTTGAGACAGAAAAAATAGGCCCTGTCAAATGAGAATTTTCCACAGTTTCGTTCAGTTCAGTTTTGTTGGTTTAAAACCCAGCACCTGCGAAGATGCGGAAATACCCCATTTAACAGGACCTATTTTTTATGTCCCTACATCTGATGATATTTTCAGTGTAATTGTTGCTAGATTAGATGGTAGTATAGATTTTTTACATATTGAGACATTTCATAACCCTGTACCACAAGATGAACTCCGAAAACAATTAGGTAAGATTTAAACTCATTTAGTAGGGATAGGTTCGTCATTTGTTTGAGCAATCGTACCTTAGTCACAGAAACGGGAATTTTTTAGCTAAGCTAATAGTGTTGACAACTCACTGTCGAAATTTGAGCCTTCAAATCAATTTGTATCCAGAATTATCCATGTTTGAAAGTTAAAAAGACAACTCGTCATTTCTTGAGACATATACAGAAATAGAAAGGGAAATTCCTAGTTTGAAATATTTTTGAACGTTTTTCTTGCATTTTTAGTATTTCTGAAGACTATTTACATATATTCAAGACCTAAATCAACGTGAAGTGGCTATATTAAAAATATGGAACAAAAGTTTGTTATAATTTGACTGTAGTTGATCAAGCCTTTCAGGAAGTCAAAAGTCAATCAGGGACAAGTTTGACTAAGTTTTGTGATTTTCCAGGTCATGTAAGAAGTATGAGTGAAGTGAAAACCAATGATATCATGTTACGTCTTGTCTGTCAATCATCTGTCAAAGCTCATCAACGTCCAATCAACTTTTTACAATCATCTGGTGGGCGTGTAGTATCAGCATGTCAAGACCACACCCTCAAGGTAGGAAATAGATTTGTTATGTTTCATGATAATACAGAAACCAAATTAAAAAGTTTTGTGTTACTTTGGGCCTTAAAGGGATTGTAAAGAGGTTTTCTCAATCTTTAAAGAGAGTAAATTTGTGATAAAGAAACTCCATTATAATTTTAGGTTTTCCGTATGGAAGATTGTTTGTGTCTGTATACGTTTTATGGTCACGAAGGCAGCATTACAGCTTTATATTTGGACAAAGTAAGTGTGTCTTACTACAAAGGGATGCATTCTACAGCCCAATAGACCTTATTCACGCATCAGCCATATTGAATCCAGATTGAGGCTTATAATGGAAACAAACAAAGGTAACATGGTGTCACTGCAGTAAATTCGCCACCTCGATGTCTTTAAAGCCTTCCTCTCCAATCCCACTAACTCTAAACTAATAATATTTTACATCATTAAAATCGGAAATGATATTTTCACATGAATTTACCTTCACATATTTCTGTAACAAATATCGATAATCTTGTCGTAAAAGCGTGGGCACACGTGAGATTTTACTCAAGATTCGAGTCGGCAACAAAAATTGGCGACCAAGACTGTTTGTGTTTCCGCATCCCAAGTTTGTTATTCCTGAATGTAAAATTTCAAAATTGTTTAAGATACAATGACCAGGCTTGAAAGTTAGGTCTAAATATTTTTTTATTTTATGTTTTTAGTTACCACCATATGGTTGTGTAAGTGGATCAACAGATAAATGTATTAGATTATGGGATTTAGTCATGGGATCCTGTTTAAATATTTTAACTGGTCATGAAGGTACAGTATGTAATATCAGCTGTACCGTACATCATGTAATAAGTATTGGAGTTGATGATAAACTGTGTATTTGGGATCGTTATAAAGGCTTTCTACTTCATTCCATTACAGTGGTAAGTTATATTGAAAGGGATTGTAAAGATGTTTTTGTAAATTTTGTATGTGTATTGGGGCCACTGATAGCATCAATTTGCATCATTCCAATTTTCAGTCAGACATCTGTGGTTTCTGTAATTCCACAAATACTAAGTGTTTGATGACGTCACTAATCGTAAAATATGCTTTATCACATTAGGCCTTGTAGTTACGTCATGAAACACTTAGTTTTAGTGTTTATTAAGTAATTCTGTGTTTATCTGTTTACAGGAGAATTGTTGTGGTAGTAATTTATGTTTATTTAGTAATTCTGTGTTTATCTGTTTACAGGAGAATTGTTGTGGTAGTAATTTATGTTTATTTAGTAATTCTGTGTTTATCTGTTTACAGGAGAATTGTTGTGGTAGTAATTTATGTTTATTTAGTAATTCTGTGTTTATCTGTTTACAGGAGAATTGTTGTGGTAGTAATTTAAGTTTATTTAGTAATTCTGTGTTTATCTGTTTACAGGAGAATTGTTGTGGTAGTAATTTAAGTTTATTTAGTAATTCTGTGTTTATCTGTTTACAGGAGAATTGTTGTGGTAGTAATTTATGTTTATTTAGTAATTCTGTGTTATCTGTTTACAGGAGAATTGTTGTGGTAGTAATTTATGTTTCTGAAGTAATTCTGTGTTTATCTGTTTACAGGAGAATTGTTGTGGTAGTAATTTATGTTTATTAAGTAATTCTGTGGTTGTGACAGGAAGTCAGGTAAGCCTTATCGTTTAAAATCTACAGTTTTACCTTTTTTGGGCATTCTGGGTAGCTTATTTCTTATCTCATCATTTGCGAAAGTGATATCATAACTTAGTCTAGTCAAAACCTCTCTGGACTTGAAGGGATTGTAAAGAAGTTTCTAAATTTCTTATGTGTATTGGGGACATCGATTTGCACCATTCGAAATTTCAGTCAGATGTCTGTGGTTCTTGCAATTGCACTAAAACTAAGCGTTTTATTACTAATTGCAAACTATGCATATATCACATAAGGCCCTTTGCGATTAGTGATGTTATCAGACACTTAGTTTTATTGGAATTGCAGGAACCACAGACATCTGATTGAAAATTGAAATGGTGCAAATTCATGCTATCAGTGTCCCCAATACACATACAAAATTTAGAAAATCTCTTGACAATCTTTTGAAGACAATTCCCTTCACCAATGAATCAAGGCTACGTTTCCATGGTTATTGAAGAATATGCTTTGTTTTCCAGGACAAACTATACCTCTGTGATATTGTTAAAGGTAAAATTATACGACAAGTTCAGTTCAGTGATTCTGACCAGGTTGGGTTTGTCAGGAAAATACAGGCCATTGGTAATATGAGTATTGTATGTGACTTCGGAAAAGATCTTCAGATAATTCATTTCCCCACCATTTTAGAGAAGAGAGAATGAGAAACATGGGGTCGGCTTGATTAGTGAGTTCTGCATGTTCAGAACGCGTTCCATGTGTCGCAAACATAGTAGATGCAGACAGAATTCAAAATGGCAGAGAGGAAAATAGATTAGATAGATAGAAATAGATGGCGGAGAAATTTGAATGTGACGTATCTGCATTCATACTTTGATTGGGGGCAGAATTGGAACAGACAGAACCTGTTCGGAACTCCCCAATTGAGCGCCACCCTGATGTTAGATAAAAGTATAAGTGGTCTGTGTCTGAAAATATCTTGACAATAGAAATGTTAGTAGTCTTAGTCCAAATTTTTTTACTTGGATCTTGAGCTTCAAAAACATTTCCCTGTATTTGCCATTCATGAGTAACAGACTGAAACTGTGATGTTTAAGACATTTAACAACATAAAAATAACATTCATTATATAAAAATCATGTTTAAAACTGCTGAGTTTCCATCAACCATAAGCATGTCCTGCCTCTTTAGTACCTACATGAACAAAAGTTAGGTGTTCCTTACATCATTCGCTATGGCCAACAAAACTCATAATTGTTATGTTAGTAGACAAAAGTTAATTATTAAGTTTAATGATATGATGTCAAAACCAGACGGATTAAAATTTTGTTCCGTTTTTTATTAGCATTTATTTTTAATATAGCAGTAAGGGTCTAAAGACGGCTGGCCTTCTTGAACATTTGTCTGTTTGATGATACTGCCAGCCAATCAAATTTCTGCCCGCGTCTGCACTGGGATTTTGTGGGACTTGGGATTTGATTGGCTGGCGGAATCATCAAACTGATGTTCAAGAGATTCTAACTGAAGTGACTATACTAAAAATAAAAGTTATAAAAAACGGAACGAAAGTTCAGTCAAATTAAGATTAATCTGTATCCAAACAAGTAAATTGTAACTTATTCATTTGTTGTGCATTATTTGTATAATCCTTTTCTTGATTTATGTGTATAATCAATAAGTGTTTGATGACGTCACTAATCCTGAAGAGCCTTATACGGTAACACATAATTTGCGATAAGTGATGTCATCAAACACTTAGTTTTAGTGGAATTGTAGGAACAACAGAAGTCTGATTGAAACTTGGAATGGTGCAAATTGATGCTAAAAGTGTCCCTGATACACATTTTGAAAATCCTTTCACAATCCCTTTAAAAATAAGTCTTTTGCCAGCCTTGCACTGAATACCTTCCGATAGTCTTAAATGATTTTAAATAATCTCACCTCCCCTTAAATAAATCAAAATTTTTCATTTCTTCTTTTTAAATTGTTCGTGTTCACTTTTTGATAAGCTTGACCTTGTTAGTAATATCTGTTATGTAAATAATATTTTTTGATATTTATATTTATTGTTTAGTAAATAACTTGGTGCCTTGAACTGATCTCATAGTGTATTGTAACATAATTATTTTCCTTTGATGTTTTTATGAAATAATTTGCTTAATATGGTGCAGTTTTAAAGATCTTCTTTCTTATTGTATGTTATATAAACTCTGTTTCCACTGATGGATAAAGCCGGCTTTGAGCTAGCTTTCGTGTGTTTGCACTAGGCAAATGACCGAAAACCTCTCTCTTTGTGTTCGGCAATTTATCGAGGGCCAAAAGATAGCTTTACTCGGTGGAAAGGTAAAAAGCCAGCTTTATCTCGTTCAGCAATAGGGGGCATTATTGGTCTTTCCAGTCTATTGCTTTTCTTACTGGTCTAAACTGTAGACTTGTACATCATATGTTGTCAATAATGCGCGACTTTGTGATCGAGGCTAAAATCAATGCAAATTAGAGTTATCTTTACAATTGTCAGTGGAAATGCGGTTTTTCAAGATACCGGTAATTCTGTTTTCATTGTGATAACTTTTTTGACATTTAACAAATATAGTATTAGAAACTTGGCATTCTTTTGATTGGTGATTTGATTAGATGTCAAGATGTCAAAATCGCTGATCTATTTAATTGCAAGTTATAGATTAAAGGTATACTACCACTTAGGATGACCAAAAAAAATTGATATTTTAAAATGAGTCATCAGTGGATTTACCTGGTGTCATAACTATACAACAGAATCTCTCTATAATCTAATAAATCTATAAAACTAAGTAATAATCCATTAAACTAAGTAATTTTGAAACATGCTTAGTTTAATAGATATATCGTCTTATATAGAGATTCTATTCTTTAGTCCTGGTAAGTCCAACTGATGAATATATACACTTATTGACCAAGTTTGAGACTTTAAATTTTGTGTCCATTCTAAGAGGTATTATTCCTTAAAATGGCTTAATTTTGAAAATATTTAATTTTCAATGTTATTTTTGTCTTAAATATTATTGAAAATTGTGCCTTAAAATTTAGTAAAGTTGTATTCATGTCAGTCTAAATAAAATTAGACCAAACTTTCGTTCCGTTTTTTGTCTAGCTTTTTTTTTAATATAGTCATTTCAGTTAGGGTCTAACAACAGCCCTCTTGAACGTTTTTCAAATTGACCTTTGACATAGACCGATAAACACAACGTAACACAAAATGCCAGCGCTGGAGAGAGTAGAAATTTGATTGGTTAAAGCAGACGTCATCGAATTAGGTCAAAAAATTAATTTGACAAACGCTCAACAGGGCTGTCGTTAGACCCTAACTGAAGTGGCTATGTTAAAAATAAATATTAATAAAAAAAATGGCACGGAAGTTTGGTCTAATTTAAATAAATGTATTTACGTGTCCAGTTCATTAGCTGTTTAGCCCATGACCAAAGATAAACAGGACTTCATAGTTCATTTCATCCCATCAATATTACTTGTTTAATAGACTGTAACATCGGTCTCTATTCCAGCCTCCAATAGCTATTTGGGCAAATTTCTGCTGGTGTAGACAGAAAAAATGGCCTTGTTTTATGGAACTTTCGGCATCTGCTGGGGTTTAAAACCTATTTAGATACCTCGAATCTGCGAAACCCAGATATATTTGGAAAGATGACTATTTTTGTGGTTCAGTCATACCATCATTTTCTCCCTACATCATTTATGTCATGTCTCCGGTTTCATCAAAGTTTTTTGGGCGAAACTGATCTAGCAGCAGCCAAAAGTTCAAAGGTCACATGATACTAACAAAACAATTTACAGTCATTATTAAATATTATGTTAAAAAAACTGTATCTTCTGAGGTGTGGAAAATCCCCATTAAACAGGGCATATTTTTTCTGTCTCTACACCAGCCGACAACTGTCAAAATATCAATCAGAGGCTGGAATAAAGAACTAGTAATATAAATTAATGTGATTAATGTGATAAAGTGTAATTTTACATATAATTTGTAATTTGTATAAATAAATATTTATTTTTCAAAATACTTTTTTTTTGTTTTGTTCCGAGTTAAAGAGATTTGTGATGATATGTACCAGGGACACTGATACTGATAGCATCAATTTGTACCATTCAAATATTTAATCAGTCGTCTGTAGCTTTTTGCTACACTAAAAATTAGCGTTTGATGTTGTCACTTATCGTAGCATATGCTTCATCATATTTTCACAAGGTCCTTCGTGATAGGTGACATCATCACACACTTAGTTTTAGCGGATTGGCAGGAACCGTAGACATCTGATTGAAAATTGGAATATTGTAAATTGATACTATCAATTTCCTGATACATAAAAAATTTAGAAAACCTCTTTACAATTCCTTTAATCATTTCTGGTCTAAAGTATTTTTTGATTAAAACTGCCCCCCTTCAAAAAAAAAATCCATTTAAACTCAAATTTGTAATCGTAAACAAGAAAAAATAAACATTTCATTACGTCTCAATATCAATAAATAAATTTATAACTGAAGATTTTTAAATCTTTTAAACAGACTAAAATAGTAAGTTTCCTAATCTTTTGATCAGTGGAATCAGTGAAAATAAGTGCACCATCTAAAGCTGTTGGACATTTCCTTAAGCATATTCTTAAAGGTACACTACCTCTTAGAATGGACATAAAATTGATAGTTTCAAACTTGGTCAATAAGAGTATATATTCATCAGTTGGATTTACCACGTACCATGTCTAGAGAATAGAATATCTATATAATCTAATAAATCTATAAAACTAAGTAATAATCCATTAAACTAAGTAATTTTGAAACATGCTAAGAAGTGTATTTCAATAATTATTTAGTTTAATAGATATATCATCTTATATAGAGATTCTATTCTTTAGTCATGGTACCTGGTAAGTCTTACTGATGAATATATACTCTCATTGACCAAGTTTTTGACTTTAAAGTTTATGTCTTTTTTAAGAGGTAGTATACTTTGAAACAGTTTCCAGATCCTTAAACATGCCTCCTTCGTTTGTTAGTTCCAGGGGATGTATAAGATCCTTGCAGCTTCATGAGCTCTTTCTTATTTTTGGAAACTTGGGATGGCCTAATTTTAAAATGTGGACCATGTAGATTATAGAATTTCTGTAAAGCACCATTAATTTTCTTTCTAATAAAAAACATAAATGCCTTTTGACCTACAGGATTTAAGTGGACGCCATCTTCTAGCATATACGAGCAACGTAGTTTACGAAAAAACTTTTCGTGACATCCAACAACAATTTTACGTTTATGTTGAACCATGCCTCGAAATTCCTTGTTGATTTTTATTCGCATTTTATCATAATCTTCCGGAGTTTGATATCGCGGGTTTGGACGAATAAAAACAGTTCCGACGATTACTGGAATCTCGCGAACTTGAATAATTCTTTCTGCAACTTTCAGCATTTTTTTAGCGACATCATTGGCGCTAGTATGTGGACTCAGGTCATTCCCACCACTCTGTATAAAGACCAGTTTAGTTTCCTTTGGTAGTTCATTTATCAATCCAAAAATATTATCCAACTGAAATGAATGAATGTAAATAGAGCTCAGGGTAGCTTAAGCTAGAAGACTACACTTGTATAGCATCTGTCCATAAGAGAACTACAAGCCTGACCAAGTTACTACATTCAGATTTTTTTTACGAGATTCTTTATTTTGAATAATCATTGATGACGTCATGTCTATACACTATACAGTAGACTCAATCATCTTGTTTGTGGTCTATTTGTAGGAATAATGCAATTTTCGTGCAGTTTTGGAAGTTCTAGTAGGAAACTATTTACATATTATATTGAGGTCCACACCAACCCCCGGAAATGCCGCATCTGTCCCTTTAACCAAAACCAAGTAATGCTCTCTTCAGACTTCTGGTAAACAAAGATGTGTGTTGGTGTTTCAATAATAAATGTCATATTCGAAATGAAATCATATCTACTTCGCCATGCAAAATCATGCAATAAATAGCCATGGACAATTACTGCATTAGGCTTGTCGGAAAAGCGTCCTGTACATACATCACAAATATTTCGTAGAAATTCTCTTGATTTTTCAGTTAATTTACATCAAATTTCACCTACCTTGGAGCCACCTTTCCCGTGGAATGATATTTCATGTTCTGGATGCACAGGTTCTTTAATATCTCGTGAAAATTCTTCCAATCTTCGCACGAAAGAATGTCCAACGATAGCAACTTTCATTTTTCACGCCATTAAAACTTGTGGATAGAGGTGAGCGATTTTCAATGCAAAACCCTTGAACTTTTTTTTATTGACTATCCCCTGAAAGGACCTAGAGTTTCTGTGGCCGAAGTTTTCAGCTCTAGTTTTACTTAGAAGTAATTTCAAAATGTTTCTTAACAGCATTGCCACGACTAAAAATGGCAGTACACAAATTTAATTATCATTGCACATCTCTATAAGTTTGTGCAGAGCAAATGAATCGAACTTTTGTGGGCTCAGCGGCAGTAATTTTTAGGATATGCCCACCCCCCCCCCCCCCCTCCAATTGAATCCGCAAATGGGTGGGGCGCACAATAATTGTCAAACTAAGTAAAATAATAGAACTGATAGATGAATCGAACGGAATATTCAATCGAACACCCCTCAATGTTTCTGTTCCGGGTCAAAGTTCATCTAATAAATAACAGCTTGAAAATATACAAGGAATAAATGTCAAAATTTCCTATCTCCGTAGATATTTGCACAAAGGGTAAGTATGTTTTAATTTTCACGCAGACAAGTAATACAGAAAGAACAGGTTGGCATTTTTTCAAATTTTGTTTGATTAATGCTACCAGGCTTTTAGATTTCGGAGAGGCCTGCTACTGCACTACCCACTTGTGTAGTTGTGACTTACACACAGCAGTTCAATTGCTTGCAATGTCAGTTTCACACTCAATACTTAGCCTAGGTCTGTTGTCAGTGTTTAGGCTGGTATTGGTATTAGGGGGTGAAAGCCAACAAAGGCCCAGGCATTAGAATTTTTCTTACCTTGTGGAGGATTTGAATCTACATCAACTAATCGCCTAGCAGACGACAATCTAACTCGGTTTTCGTAGATTGATGACATCACTAATTGCGAAATAGTCGTCAAACACTTGGTTTGTATAAAATGCAGGAACCAAAGACATCTGATTACTGATATCAAAACACATAAAATTTTTAGAAAACCTCTTTACAATCCCTTTTTATTAAATATTGGAATGAGTTTCTCATATTTCTAGACAATTATGGAACAGTCTAATTAAAATTAGACCAAACTTTCAATGTTTTATTAGCTTTTTCATGTTTATTATAGCCATCTTAGTAAGGGTCTAACAACAGTCCTCTTGAACGTTCTTCTGCGTTGACTAACCAACCAAATTCCTACCTTCTCCATCGCTTTCATTTTTTGTTTATCAGGTTAGGTCAAAAGGTTAATTTGACTACTTTCCACAGAGCTGTGATTAGACCCTAACTGAAGTGGCCTGTATCAAAAATAAAACAACGGAATGAAAGTTTGTTCTAATTTTGATAAGAAGAAATATTAAAGATTTATTCCCTTCCTATCATTTATGAAAATGCTAATACTTATATGAATAGAAAGAAGAGGTGTTTTAATGACTTGGAAAAATATCAGTTTGTCTCACATGTCAATAATTAATTCATAATTAGCTAAATTAGAAGAGAATTACCGACAGAAACACCGACTAATCAAGAAAGGTCAGAAAGTCTTTTATTGTTTATCCAGACTGTATATACAAGGACATTTATGATTGGTTAACCAAGCAATATCTCATATATGAATATTGCTTGGTGATAAATCATTAGAAAAACCAATTAATCTAATAGTTTGCTTAATTTGTCACTTTATGCAATTCATCTTTAAATATCCTGTTTTTCCAATTTCAGGTACCAGATTGACATATTATGTGGTATATCATGGAAAATATACAACAAGATTATAATTTATCTGATCGTTTGATACGAGCTATTAGTAATTGGAGGACTTTATCTACCTCTAATGATGATATTGAAGAGTTAATCCAACTAGGAGCAGATGTTAACAGATTACATGGTACTTTATTACCGTTACATTGTGCCTGTATGGCCAGTGACAGTTATTGTTTACGACTTCTGCTACAAAAGGGAGCTCGGGTAGGTTTAGTATGATACAATTAAATAGCATTTTTGTCCTTTTGGCGCTCTGTAACATATAATTCCTTGAAGTTGGTCATTGACTCCATGTCAAAAATCCCTTTTGTTTTTTTTAAGGGACAGTTTCGTCATTTTCAGGGGTTGATTTTAGGCTTGAAGATTCCTAAACACGGATAATTCTGGCACACATGGATTTGAAAGTTGAGCTGTGAACACTATTTCGCCAAATAAAACAGGTTCTCCATTTGTTTGACCAATTGTACCTCAGAAACAGGAATTTCTTTAGCTCTTCTAATCAGTAATAGTATTCACAGCTCACCATTGAAATTTGAAACTTCAAACTTCAAATCCATGTGTATCCAGAATTATCCGTGTTTGAAAATTAAAAAGGCTCATTTTTTTATTTTGCCATATATAGAAAAGACATATATAGAAATAGAAAGTGAAATTTCTAGTTTGAGGTATTTCTGAAGGAATTATACAATATTTGTACATTTCTAGTACCTCTGATTCTGAAGACCATTGGTGAATCTGTGCCGTTAATAGACAGCTTTTTTTTTGTTTGTTGACAGGTCAATGAAGTAGATGGGTATGGTAGAACAGCTTTACACTATGCAGCAGAAAGAGACGTATTTTGTGTTGATATTTTATTACAACATGGTGCAGATGTGAATATGGGAGATGGTAATAATGATACGCCATTACATTGGGCGGCTTATACCAATAATGTTCAATGTGTGAAACTCCTCCTTCAAAATGGCGCTGAAGTTGATGTAATGGACTACAATCGTGACACTGCCTTGAGCTGGGCGGCGCGAAAATGTCATTTAGAAATAATCAAAATACTTCTGGAATATAACGCTGATGTTAATTCGCGCAATCTAAATGGGCAGACGGCTTTGATGCGAGCGGCAGCCATTCAAGCAAGTGGACTGAATACAGAACATGATGATGCATGTTTAGAACTGTTGATTGAAGCGTCTGGACAATTTGATTTACGGAATGATAAAGGGGAGTTAATCCCTGATATAGCTAGAGACAATAAACTAAGTGAATTGTTAATGCCCTATTGTGTTCTACCACGTTCTCTTCAAAATCTCTGCAGGCATCAGATTAGGACCAGTTTACGGAACCAATATCTACCAAATGTTATTCCTTTGCTTAATCTTCCACGTAAACTTCAAGACTTTATTCTTCTACAAAGATGATGATTGTAGTTTTTAAAGGGATTGTAAAAAGGTTTTCTGATTTTTTGTGTATCAGAAACACTGATAACATCAATTTCCATTCTAATTTTCAGTCAGACATCTTAGATTCCTGCAATTCCACTAAAACTAAGTGTTTGATGTTATCACTAATCATAAAATAGGCTTTATTGTAATAAGTGACGTCAACAAACGCTTAGTTTTAGTGGAATGGCAGGAACCAAAGACAGTTGAATGAAAATTTGAACGATGCCCAGATACCCATGAAAAATTTAGAAAAACCTCTTTACAATCCCTTTAAGGGTTTATGAGTCAGATGGCATCCAATACTTGATACATTATGGGAAACCTAAGTAGAGTAATACGACAGCTTTTTTTTAGGTTTAGCCATCCCACAATTCCTTATTATATCAAGAAAGATTTTTTCAAGACATGCTGTGATTGGTTAAAAATAATATCATTGGGACAGTATGTAATATTACTCTACTTTAAGTTTCGATATCCCCCAATTCTTTATATCAAGAATCAAATTTTACATGACATGCTGTGATTGGTTAAAAATAATATAAGTGGGACAGACCTTTGGTAGAAATTTAGTTAGATTACAATTAAAAAATAATGATGAAACGAAATTGTAATCTGAATTTTAATTAAATTGCATGTCGTCTGACCTGTTCATCCGCTATAATTCAAAATGGTATTATAGTCAATTTTAACGTCTTTCAATATTCATTTTTAGAGGCTTTTAGATCTTTTTGTTATGTTATCTCTATATTATTATTATTATTAATTATTGTGAATTAATTCTAAACAGGTTAAGGATTATATAAAAATATAATTGTTTTTTTAAGTGTTTTATGGTGCAGGCACACAAACAGTCATAGTGGAAAACAGCATAGACAAATGTGGTGAAATGATGTGATAAAGCATATTTTGCGATTAGTGACATAGTCAAACACTTAGTTTTAGTGTAATTACAGGAATCACAGATGTCTGATTAGAAATTGACATGGTGAAAATTGATGCTGTCAGTGTCCCTTGATACACATAAAAATTTAAAAAACCTCTTTACTATCCCTTTAAAAATCCAAATGCTCTAAGGTGTATTGGATTGATGCAAAAACAATTATTTAAGCACATCACAAACAAGAACACCTTTCATTGTTTTGGGCCAAAATAGAAAATAATTATTTTAAGTTTGTTGTGATCAGTTCATTTCAATGAGAAAAAAAAACAAAAATTAAAATTTTAGCACTTTAATATAATAGGGGCAAAATGAAACTGTAATACAATGGGCCATCATAACTTGTTTCAATCACACAATATTGTCTTCGCAGGATAGAACCTTTAAAAGTTAGATTTGATGTTGAAATCCTAACAATTGACTGATAGATTGGGGTGTCTTGTTTTAAAAAGGTTTTCTAAATTTGTATGTGTATCAGGGACACTGATAGCATCAATTTACCCCATTTCAATTTTCCAATCAGCCGTCTACGGTTCCTGAAATTCCAACATCACAAAGGGCCTAATATGAAAAAGCATATTTTGCGATTAGTGACATCATCAAACACTTAGTTTTAGTGGAATTGTAGGAACCACATACATCTGATTGAATATTGGAATGGTGCAAATTGATTCTATCAGTTTCCCTGATACACATTCAATTTTTAAAAAACCTTTTTAACAATCCCTTTAATTCACAAAAACTTGAAAAAACTTGAAACTGTTAGATGTTCCAATTAATCTGGAACTAAATAATATTTCATTGAGACCAGCACAGTGTTATATTGAGTTTTGATAAGTTAGTCGACCTTCAAAAAATGCAGATGAGATGTTAAAAGAATATTAATTCTGCAAATCTATAGACCATATTCATGCCTCGTTTTTGAGACACTGAAAGCGAGGTTCATAACTCAAATTACGTCATCCATTGATATGATAGCGATGTCGTATGAATGAAAAGCCTGTTTGACATAAAAACACCAGTTCATCAGCGACAAAACGGGCCTAAAACTGACCTTTCTTGGAAATGAGCTAAGGTTAAATTCATTTGAAAGTATTGTTAGATAGCTCAATCAATTCTGATTTTAATGATTTAAAATATGATTAGTTTTGAGTTAAAGGTATTGGAGAAGGAGGTCAAGGTGGTCATTTTAGTGCAGTGACACCAAACTACCTTTATGTGTTATGGCCGACGCATGAATAAGGTGTATAAATTTCTAATTTTTGAAGAAGGAAAACACTTGAACACTTAAAGGAACACTACCTCTTAGAATGGACATACAATTTAAAGTCTCAAACTTGGTCAATAAGAGTATATATTCATCAGTTAGACTTACCAGGTATCATGACTAAAGAATAGAATCTCTATATAAGACGATATATCCATTAAATAAATGATTATTGAATCACGTTTCTAAGTAGTTTACTTAGTTTTAATGAATTATTGCTTAGTTGTGTGGATTTATTTGATTATAGAGAGATTCTGTTATATTGTTATGACACCAGGTAAGCCCACTGATGCACAAAGACACATTTTAACCAAGTTTAAAAATTTCAATTTTTTGGTCATTCTAAGAGGTAATATAACTTTAAAAGAATTTTTTTTAAAGAATTCATTCATTCCAGGAATTTTTCAAGCACCATTCAGACTCAGTATTTTTCAAAATACCTTAAATTCAAAAATGATTGTATTTTTGAGGATAATAATCCTAATCCCACTTCTGCAGACATTTTGAGAAATACGAGTCTGACCAAATAATTGAGTCTTTTGTAAACATAATTTAATGTTGAAATCAAACATCAATCATCTTCAAGTTCCAGATTTTCTAAATCTTCGTCTATTAAATCTATATCATCCCCATCAAAAAGTCCTTCGTCAATAGGAATATCACTTGTTAATTCACCGTTTTCACTAGCAGCTAGTGCCATTGCTATTTCTTTATCACTTGCTGTGTTATTCGAAGGTGGTAAAGCGGCTGCCTGGTCCAATTTATTGTGCTCTACAAGTATAAAATATACAATTTTGGATCAATTATGCTGGAAAAACTGGTAGTTGGGACATTTAGTTGTAAATCTTGAAAAGACCGTTACTAATTGATTTTAATTTAGTCAAATTTCCATCAATAATAGGGTTTCTTGATAGGCCTTGTTTGTTTCTTTTTCTGTCTACCACCATCAGGCTACCAAGTTGATTTAATAAGAAGAACTAATTTTTCAAGAATTCTTCTTGAAGTATTTAAAGACAACTTACCTGAATTTGCCTTTAACCTATCTTTTGAAGCTTGAGTACCAGAAGAGTCGACATCAGTAGCTTTAATATTTTCTAAACATACATCCACCACAGGACCATCATATACATCCTATAAATACAATTCAAATCTCTTGCCAGTTTTATTCAAATAAGACCAACCTTTATTTCCGTTTGTATTATCGTTTATTTCTAGTACAGCCACTTCAGTTAGGGTCTAAAGACAGGCATTTTTATTTAAGCAAAATGTATTGACAGAGATTAAAGTGTGCATTTATATAATACAATAATACAGCGCATACAAAGATTTGGAGGAGTAAAATTTACCTTTTGATTGGACAATATTTAGCTACGAATATGTAATTTTTTTCATTTGTATTGCCACGAGAAAGTGAGACGTGGTGTGGTTTGAGCGCTGATAAGTCCCTAAGTGTCATAAAGCTGTTCTATAAATACTAACCTCTTCATCTAATTCTCTTTCAACCTGATCATCAGCATCTTCATCATCACCACCCATAGTCGGATCAAACTCAAACATCTGTCTTCCACTAATCTAATTATATCAACAAACAGAATTATGCCCTTGGCCCCTTCTTTGATTGGATTAGCGCCATTTTTGTGACAGGCTTAAGACCCCCATCTTTATTCAGGCTGGCCACCAATCTCTAAAAGGAGATAACTCTTCATACAGACATGATATTTCCAGACCACAATATAACAATATGTTTGACTATGTTATTACAATATGACACTATAGTAGCCTACACTTACCCCTGATAATTTGCCCTGTTTGTAAGCATTCTTCTTTTCCTTCTCATCCTTTTCTCTGGCTTCTCTCTTTTCTCTTCTCTAAAATTATTCAAAATATTTTAACACCGCTGTTCATAGTCTGAGACATTTGCCTCTATTCCAGCCTCCAAAAGATATATAGATAGTCAAAACAAGGAGCTGTTTTAAGGGGATTTTCCACACCTCCGAAACATAATATGAAATTACCTTTAAGATAACGGTAAATAAGTGATGGGTATCATCGTAACTTTGGTATCACCTTTTCGAATATATTTGGGTTTGGCGAATCCGATGTAAATAAATACGTTTAAGAAAATCCCCATAAGACAAGGCCAAGTTTTTCTGTCTCTACACCAGCCAACAAATTTAAAAAAACTATCAAAGGCTGGAATAGAGGGAGATGTTTCGGTCTATCCTGTTCATTGACTGAACTTTAAAGATCAATTCAAACATTTATCAAATGAGTGCAGAAAGGTAGAGACCTTAAAATACAATTCCTTCTCACCAAAAGCTTACGACAAACAAGTGAAGGTCTTAATCAAAAACCGCCTACCTTTCTTTCTTTCCACTTAAGAAATGACTCTAAAGTAACTTTGGTTGTATCATCACCTAACATAGCTCTCTACAATAATAATAAGATAATATCATTAACAATGTTTAATAACAGCATCGTTTAAAGGGATTGTAAAATTTGTTCACTTTCACAAAATCCCAGTGCTGGCAGAAATTTGATTGGTTAAAAAGCAGGGTCATCAGCTGGTTAGGTCAAAAGGTTATTAAGACCCTAACTGAAGTGGCTGTATTATAAATAAAAGCTAATAAAAAACTGGAACGAAAGTTTTTTATAATTCTAATCAAACTGGGAATTTACAAATATACCTCTTTTTCAATCAGTTCTTCTATAGAGATTTCATCTTCTTTATCTTCTTTTTTCTGATCTTTTTTAAGCACGTAACCTTCAGGTAGAGCATGTCTGTATGTACATTTATCACCTCCATTAGGACACGCCCAAAACCATCCATAACCACCGCTTTCTACAGCATCCAAGAAATGTTTACACACCTGAAATTAATATTGTTCTTTAAATTTATTAAGTGTTATACACAAGTAAGCGGTCTAAATATACAGCATGACCTTTCGTTGCCACCTTCAATTCTACAGCTAAAAATGCCTCTATACAAACACTAGAGTTGTCATTTTAACATTCAAACGCAGATATTTCTGGACACACATGGATTCGAAGACTCAAATTTCGACTATGAACTGTGAACACCATTACTGACAAGCTCAGCTAAAAAAAAAAACGTTTCTGAGACTAAAGTATAATTGGTCAAAAAGAATCGTGCAACTGTCCCTTTAACTTGTTTCATCAAGAGAAGTCACCCTCAGAAAAACATGAAACAAACATCAAGATTTGATATGAAATTGATTACAAGTCATTTATTCTATATGACTGTTATATATGTACAGTAGATCTAATTACTGTATATAATGAAATATAAAGGCAGTATATGAGTATAAATAAATTGCTATATGTGAAAAATCAATATAATATAATTTACTTACCAGTGCAGTTCTATCTGGTCCGCCAGGTGCTGTAATAAAAAATAACTAATCAAAGATGGGTTTCCTTATTTTTTTAATGTCAAATTAAGTAAATTATTTCTAATGAATTATCATGTATTCTTAATTATATCATTACATTCTTATTGCATATAATTAAGAATTTTAACCAATCATGGATTGGATAAACAAAAAACAGAGACTATTTGATTTTTCATGATCGGTCACTTATTTGGATTCTGCTGGTAATTCTCTTCTAATTTAGCTAAGTATGATTAATTATGGACATGTGAGACAAACCAGTATTCTTCAAAGTCTTTAGAACACCTTTACTTTCTATTTGATATAAGTATTAGCATTTTCATTTTCATAAATGAAAATATTAAGGGAGCCCGTCTCTAAGTATTTTTCTATATCTATAGATAGAGCTGGGTAAAATAACCAAAATCATCGATTATCGTCGCTAGGAATTTATAATTTTGATTATCAATTATCAGTTCATATCAATTAATTATCAACGTCTATTTTCTCCCGTATACCTGTTAACAAGTCATAATTTACTGAGCAATACTTACCATCATCTCGAGTGTCTGTATATAAATCACGTTTTTCAGCTTTACGACCAATAGCTAAATCATGAGAAAATTTACATTTGTCTCCTTTAGTACACTGGCCTTGTCGAAAAAACTGACAAAGCACAGACTTGGGATCAGTACCTAGAATATAATACAAAGTTTTATAGCAATCAAATAAACTTCTCAGAGCTTTTTTAATTTCAAATTCATGTACCAGAGAGGCTGAAAAGTTCATTGGCCGATTTGGAAGGAGTTATGCCACAGCAATGAAACGGTATGCATCAAATTAGACATTTTCTGATACCAACAGCATTGTTTCTTTTCAGATTGACTGACGCTGGTTGAATGATTCAAGACCATCTTTGTAGAAGTAGGGTGTTTCCACAGCATCAACTGCTATCCCACAAATATTTTTAATCTAAGGATAAATGTACTTGGCACTTAAGGTGCAGACACACAAACAGTCTTGGACGGTGATTTTTGTCACTGACAAGAGTTTTTTACTGAGTTTCACCAACCAGCTATGGGCACACGAAAAATCTCCATTCGGTCGTTTTCCACTAAATCGATAATCACCTGCGGAGCATGAAATTGAAAGGAAAATGAATCTGATTGGATATCTATCTGGCAGACGATAAACAATCAGCGACAAATATCAAACTGGTTTGAAACAAAGAATTTTTGTTTTGTTCTGAAACCGACTTACCTTTGCTGACATTTTGTTTTACAGGTTTAAATAATGCACTAAGTTCTTCTAATTCTTTTTCTTTCTGTAATCTCTTATTTTTATATATTTATCATTTTACCTATCATAACTATACAAGAGAATCCCTCTATAAATCCATAAAACTAAGTAATAATTCATTAAACTAAGTAATAATTCATTAAACTAAGTAATAATTCATTAAACTAAGTAATAATTCTTTAAACTTAGTACTAATTCATTAAACTAAGTAATAATTCATTAAACTAAGTAATAATTCTTTAAACTTAGTACTAATTCATTAAACTAAGTAATAATTCATTAAACTAAGTAATAATTCTTTAAACTTAGTACTAATTCATTAAACTAAGTAATAATTCATTAAACTAAGTAATAATTCTTTAAACTTAGTACTAATTCATTAAACTAAGTAATAATTCATTAAACTAAGTAATAATTCTTTAAACTTAGTACTAATTCATTAAACTAAGTAATAATTCATTAAACTAAGTAATAATTCTTTAAACTTAGTAATAATTCATTAAACTAAGTAATAATTCGTTAAACTAAGTAATTACGTTATGGATTTATCAGTGTAATCAAGGATTCTGTTGTATATTTATGTTCAGTCCAACTGATGAATATTTACACTTATTGACCAAGTTTGAAACTTTTAAATTCATGTCCATTCTAAGAGGTAGTATTATTAATTACCGATTAGTGACATCATCAAACACTTAGTTTTATTGAATCCCTTTAATGTATGGTTCCTTACCTTCGATGCTTTAACATTGCCATGTTGAATCTGCTTTTTAACAGTCTCAACATATTTCTGTTGTTTGGCACCTTTTTTATTTTTCAGACCAAAAGTTTTATCCTGAAATACAAACAATTGAACAATAACTGAATCTGTCATTATATGGTTTCTCTGAAAATTATAAAAATTCTTGGTGTATGTAGAGGAAATATGCATAGGCAGTGAGGGAAGAACAAAATCATTTAAGTTAAAGCCTTAAGAGCTGGTGGCGCAGTGAGTAAGTCAGACGTTTGCTGGCTAACCTGAAGGTCCAGGGTTCAATCCTGGCGAAGGTCAAGATAATAACTTTGGATTTCTTAACCCGGTTTCCCCCCAGTCAGTGATACAGGTAAGAGGAACTGACATTGAAAAAGTATTAGTTGTTAGGACAGGACATTAAACCAAGGTTCTGTGTGCTACAGGCTATACATGTACAAGAACAAAAGTAGGTTAATGCCACTGTCCTTGGAAAAATTGCTTTCATTGCACACTGCATGGCCTTGTGCGTCTTCATTAGCCCATTAGGTGCAGAAAAGTGGGATGTAAACTTCATTCATTTTCATTTCAGAGCTCTGTTGGACATGATAATATCAAGACAATTATAGGCCTATCTGCTTTACATTTATATTTTAGTAAGTACCTAAGCAAAATTTATTTTTGTTTTTCTGAATGAAATTTAAAAACAGATTAAATTTTGTTATCGGAGTGTAGACCAGTGGTCAGCATTCTAAAATTTTAAACTTTATATCTGACCTATGGTCTAGGGTTTAAGTAGGGCCTAGTTTGCTTCATCTTATTAAATTAGCACCTTAAATTAACATTTGTTACATTGGCCATACTGGATAAGTTTGAATTTGTTGTCGTTGACACAGTGTCACAATGAAACACTATTTACACGATAGGCCTAGAAGTATTTCATTACCTCGATAACTTTCTCTTTTTTCTTTTGCTCTGTCTTTTTACTTGGTTGATTGGGTTGTTTCTTGGGCGGCATTTTAGATCCAAATTAGCTGAATGAGCGATTTATTTCATGTTTTAGTGAAATCACACGTTGTTTTGGCAAAATGTCTGATTTCTCACTTCCGGTAGCCACATTTTCGTATAAACTTTTAACAGCTAAACATCGTTTCAATATACGTTAATTGCATTGGTAGAATGTTCTGTAAAAAGTTGTAGTTGTGTTCTTCACTTCTTCATCAAAATTTAATCAGTTCAGACGACAATAAAATATAGTTTACTGGTGGGTATGATTATCTGGCCTTGCCGGCAGTGATGAATATACATGTACTAACTATGCCGGCAACTCCTTTTGATGTTGCCCTTTGATTTAAATACATTTATAACCTCCCAAAAAACGAATCAGCTCCTTAATTCTCCTTAATTTTAGAGCTGCAGGCTTTACTTTTTAAGTGGGATAGATTTTCCTTCTATATATTTATCTTGTGTGTGTCGGGGGTGGGGGCTTATTTTTTTACTTTAACTAAGTGGATTAGTGACGAAAGCCACATACATTCATAACGGTGCTACACATTTTGTTGGACACTTGACAACTATGAGTCAAGAATTTGCTTCTTTTTTTTGATTAAATGCCTTTCAATTTTCATTTACCACAATACCAGTAGGCATGAAGATAATTATGCCAAGAATATATGCCTGCGAAAAGATAAGTGGGCCTATAAAAAACAAGTGTGTCATTATCAAAAAGTTTTTATTTATGAGCAGACTTTTAAATAAGAATTGTGACAGACAGCTTTAGCAGCTAGTTTACGACCACCAAGTGTAGACAGGTCACAGATATGGATGATTTGTTCATTTTGAAATATACCAGGCATGGTCTTCATTAACTGGGCCAGCTGAAATTTACAACAATCAAATTAAAGGCACAAGTTCGCCATCCGTTTGACCTTAGTTTCAGAAACGGAAATTAGCTAAGCTAGTCAGTAATAGTGTTCACAACTCATCGTCAAAATTTGAGCCTTCAAATCCAGTGTGTGCAGAATTATCAGTGTTTGAAAGTTGAAATGACGACTTATAAATTCTTGATACTCATATTATAGGAAAGATATATATAGGAATAGAAAGTGAAATTCCTAGTTTGAGGTATTTTTAAAAGAAGTTATGTCTGTGGTTCCTGCAATTCCACTAAAACTACGTGTTTGATGACTTCACTAATCGTGAAGGGCGTGATAAAGCATTTTTCAATTAGTGATGTCATCACTTTGTTTTAGTGGATTTTCAGGAACCACAGATGTCAGAATTGAAATTGAACTGGTGTAAATTGATGTTATCATTATCCCAGATACACATAAAAATTTTAGAAAACCTCATTACAATCTCTTTAAATGTCTGATTCTAAATACAAAATAACGTCTCAGATCACTGAAAGACTCACCATATTTGCAGGCATAAACTGTAAAATAAATCTATAATATTGTGGTCCACAGCGTAAAGTTTCCTCTATAAAGGATCGTATAAAACTGGTTCTAGTTGTAACACGTTGATCATGAATACTGGCATTCATTAGCCGAAACAAATTGACTGTAAGAAAAAAATGTATATAGTTGACAAAATTTCTTAAACAGCTCGAAAGGATTTGTTTCAATCCGTAAGTTTAAAAGTGTTTAGGCTGTGTACATCAAAGATCCCTCAACAGTTGGAAATTGAAAAAGAGCAGGCAAATGCAAATGTACTGGCAAAATAACCCTCCTTACACGCATGGCGTTGCCCGTCTTCATTAGCCTACATGGTGCAGAAAAGTTAAGGTTCGTTCACTCTACAGGCAGAGCAGGGCGGCGCAGAGATGAGCAGAGCAGAGAAGAGCGTAGTAGAGCAGCGCAGTCAGTTGTTCAGATATAAGCAGAGCAGGGTGTCCTGAAATCAATCATTCGTTATTGAGGATTTCGTGTGTGTTCTACTACGACTTCTTTGCCATTCTAATTGAACAGTGGACAACTGCTAGCTGCATGCAGTAAAAAAATTTTCACTCTCTCACAGAATACAAGCATTGGAAAGGGTAGAAATTGGACTGGTTAAAGCAGTCGTCATCAAGTTAGGTCAAAAGGTTATTGTGACAAATATTCAAGAGTTCTATCTTTAGATCCTAAATGAAGTAGCTATATTAAAAATAAATGCTAATAAAAAAGGGGACAAAAGTTTGGTCTAGTTTTAATATGACTGCTTCGATTCACTCCATACTTAGCCATGTATATACCAATAGTTGTCAAAAATAACTACCTAGAGCTTTATTTAAAGGTTCTTTTGTATCAAATGTTGGTATAACTTCACCATCTTCCCTTGTATTCAGGTCATCTAAAAAAAAGTGATATATGACAAACAATATAAATATTACATAAAAAAATTAAATATTTCACTGCATATGGTTTGTGCCCCAAGATGTTCCTTTTTTAACAAATATGATTTTTATATACGTTTTTGCCCCAAAATATGTGTCAGAATGCACCAAAATAATTCAATTGTTTGAAAATTTTCTTAGGAGAACCCTTCCGACCTTCCATGAGAGTCTGTCGCATTTTGAATTCAGACTTGCCCATTGAGTCAGTCTGTCCCATATTTGTACCTTCAGTCGTGGGAGGCTGATGTTCCCACTGGCTGTTTCTTGCTGTCTCCTACACATTGGAAACTGGTTTCAAACAATTTGCGTTTATCTTAAACAAGAAGGCTATTAAGACCATGGGGTTGCTTGATTGGTGATTTCTGCTGCTTGATTGGTGATTTCTGCAAGTTCTGGATTCATGAAATGAACCAGACCTTCAATAAAACAAGTTGAAACAGAATTCAGAACCGGTTCCACGTATGCCGAAAAAATAGTAGATGAAGACAGGATTCAAAATGGCAGAGAAAGGAAATAGATGAGAAAGTTTTGAATGTGACATATTCCACTTTCAGTTTCATACTGTTTGATTGAAGGCAGAATTGGAACAGACAGAACTTGTTCAGAACTCACCAATCGAACACCAATCACAACCAATCATAATGGAAATATTGAAATTGCAGTTCTGACAATGTATAACCAAGACAAATCAACAGAGCACTATTATCAATGATTCTTACCAAAAGTAAAATCTTCAGAATGTAAAGTTAATTGAGGTTCACTTATTTTTCTTATTTTAGACGGTCTGGCTTCACTGTCATCAATATCCTAGAAATATATTGAACATTATTATAAAAACATTGAATTTAAGGCCAGCAGTCATCTAGTGCTGTGGAGGCAGACAAGCATATTTGATCACCGGATTTCAAAATCACAAAAAAAATATTCACTAATTTTGTTTACGCCCATACAAATCGCCTGCATCAAAAATGTTAAGATATTTCTACACTGCTGTTAAATTCGTTCGTCTGACCAGCCTATTTCATCAGGTGACTGATATTTCTTCAGCCAATCGGATTTGATGTTGATATATGACGTTCAAAATGGCTGCCTCTGCCAATTTGTCCACTGAAAACAGTGGAAACACAGTTTTTACCTCTATATCAACTTCAATTCTAGATCTTTTCCTTCCAACTCGTACATAGGGCTCTACAATATATACATAATACACAATTTACAAAAGGGAAAAAGTCTGTATCCAGTAGAAATAAAAGTTCTCTTAAAGCCCAGGTTCCCAAACTGGGATGTTTTCACCCCCCTGGGGGTGTGAGACTAGGGTGTCAGGGGTGTGGCCAACTGGTGTAGGAGAAGAATTCATTTTGTGTTGAGAGAGCACCTCACATTGTCACACGCTGGAAATGTGGATGAAACAAATTTTTGAGGTGTGAAAGATCCAGGTGATTGCTGCAGTGGTGCGAAGGCTGAGAAACGTTGGGAACCACTGGATAAGAGGGACATGTTCACCACTTTTGGAGGGTTGAGTCCTGATAATGTCCATACTCATTAGAAATACTAGAAATGTATGGAAATCACATAATTCCTTTAAAAATATCTCAAACTAGGAATTTCATTTTCTATTTCCTTATATGTCTTTTCTATATAATCTTTCTATAAGACTTATGGATTTGAAGGCTCAAATTTCAACGGTGAGATGTGTACACTATTACTGATTAGCTTAGCTAAAAAGGTTCACGTTTCTGAGACTAAGGTATGATTGGTTAAATGGATGGCGAACCTGTCCCTTTAATTACTGGAAATTTGAGAAACAGTAAGCTTAGAGCTATCAAAGTTGGGTTCCCTTCTTTTCATTTATGAAAATGGAAATGCTAAATACTTATATGAATAGAAAAAAAGAGTTGTTCTAATGACTTGGAAAAATACCAGTTTGTCTCACATGTCCATAATTAATTCATAATGAGCTAAATTAGAAGAGAATTACCAGCAGAATTCCAATGAGTGACCGATCAAGCAAGGTTAAAAAGTATTTTTTTGTTTATCCAGACTGTATATACATAGACATTTATGATCGGTTAAAATCTCCTTAATATATGCATTAAGAACATAATGATATGATTAAGAATACATGATAAATCATTAGAAACACCAATTCATCTAATAGTTTGCTTAATTTGACTCTAAAAAACAAGGAAACCCATCTTTAATAAATTCTTACCTTTTTGTCCTCCTCTGTTGACATTAGAGGCAGTAATACAGAGTACAGCTAGTCTAGCTAGCGTATAGCCTCGGGGATCGATCATTAAATGGGTTCTATCAGCTGAATGTAAGATGCTTGGTAGGGTCTTTACCAATAAACTTAATGTAAGGTTTTCTAAATCCATATGGAATAACGCAAATACGAGACTAACTGCAGTACATAGTTCATCTGTTTTATTAGTTTCTAACATATGCTGAAATAAACACATATACAAAATGAATTGAATGGAGTTTTACGTCCTACTTTTCTGCACCTGATTGGGCTAATGAAAATGTGCAAAAACATGCAGTGTACAATGAGGGAAATTTTGCCAGGACAGCTGCATTAGCCTGCTCTTTTTCGATTTCCAACTGTCGAGGGATCTTTAACGTGCACAGTCTGTAGCACACAGGGCCTCGGTTTATTGTCCCATCTGAACAACTAGGAGTTTTTTTCAGATCAGTCTCAATGACAAGGCGAAAACTGGTTGAAAAATCCAAAGGTATTATCTCGACCTACGCTGGGATTGAATCCTGAGCCTGCAGGTATAACAACTCATATAGCAAAACTTATGCAGGCCCGTAATTAGGGTGGGGTCCATGGGGGTTGGGCCCATCAAGTGAGAATTAAGCCCCAGCAAAACCTTCAGTTCAGCAGAGATTGATTCATTTACAGTGTCTTTATACAAAATCAGAAAGATAAAGATTTTGAAACGTTTTTGGCTCTTAAAAATTGTCAGAAATGAGTTCTCTGGGCCTTTAATTCTCAATGTACAAAATATGAGCCCCAGCACCAATTCATTCCTGGCAACAGGGCTGAACTTACGTTTACAATTTGATCACAAAACCAATCACAGCCACACAGATTTAACACCTGTTCTAGTGTATGCAGGCTTTTTAGATTGACCCAGCCTTTACTGAAGATATTGTGAAGAGTTTGTTTAAATATGATAGCTGGAGGCTCATTGGCTGGAATATATTGTTTACTGATGTTACGATAAGTGTGATTGGCTGGGAGAACCTCTTGAGATAGTAGCTCAATGACTGTTTTCATAAACTGATACCTGAAGTAAATAAAATGAAACAGCCATCATAAAGTAACATTAAAAATATGTTAAAAGGCTAACTTATCAAAAAATTCTATGAAATCTAGGTTGAAATTACTGAAATAGCAGTGAGTTATGTTTTAAAGGGATTGTAAAAAGGTGTTTCAGGGACATTGATAGAATCAATTTACACCATTCCTATTATCAATCAGATATCTGTGGTTCCGGCAACTCCACTAAAAATAAGTGTGTAAAGATGTCACTAATCACAAAATATACTTTATCACATAAGGACTTATGCAATTTAGTTTTAGTGGAATTGCAGGAACCACAGACATCTGATTAAAACTTAGAATGGTACAAATTGATGCTATCAGTGTCCCCGATACACATAAAAAATTGAGAAAACCTTTTTACAATTCTTTTTATACTACATTAAAAAAGCTTACCTATCATTGAGTTGAGTTGATTCAGCTTGATTAGTAATAGTCATTAACTGTTCTAACATGAACAATGGTTTAATACGTCGGTCATAGTCCGCAGTATTAATATAACAACACAACCAACAACTAACAACTACTGGTAAACAACACATCCAACTTTTTACATTGTCCAGCACTGTCTATAATAAAATAAAAAGTTGCGGCTATTTGTGTCCCTTTCCAGAATCAAAATATGACATCTGGTTTGTCTGCAAATGTTTAAACAGATTGGTAAATTTGTCTGTACAATGCTCAATTGCAGTTATCTGTATCCCTTTCCAGAATCAAAATGTGACATCTGGTTTGTCTGCAATTGCTAACAAACTTTATTATGATGCTATTTGTCTGTTTGATGACTTCACTTATTTGAAAGGCCTTACTTGATAAAGTATATTTTGCAATTAGCAACATCATCAAACACTTAGTTTTAGTGGAATTGCAGGGACCACAGATGTCTGATTGAAAATTGGAATAGTGCAATTTGATGCTATCAGTGTCCCCAAAACACATAAAAATTTAGAAAATTTCTTTACAATCCCTTTAAAATCAGACAAAAATTACTAACACCTACCTTCACCTGATCAATATTTATCGCACCATGTTCCCACGCAAATAAAATTTCTTGTATAGCAAATGGTGTATTTAAACAAACTTCATGCCATCGTGTTAGACTGAAAAAAAAAATCAACATAGCAATCAACACTGCAATTAACATAGCAATCAACACTGCAATTAACATAGCAATCAACATAGCAATCAATACAGCAATCAACACAGCATTCAACATAGCATTATACATAGCAATCAACATAGAAGAGCATTTATATATTCTACACCGCCCATGGAATAAATTGTTTCTTTTTAATCAAGCTGTTTTTTCACTTAACTTACCTAGTTCTGAGTTCTCCAGAAGTTAAAAATAGCTTCATCAATGGTTCCACTTTATTTTGATCTAATGGACTACAGTTTTCTATATTTTTATATTTGCCCTCCTCAGGAAACCATCTCTGTGCCCATTGAACAAAAAAGGTCTCTGATGTATCTTTATGGTTTGAAGTTAATGTCTGCAAAAGAAGCAACAAAATTTGTGTCAAAATTGTTAAAATGGGTTTAAGGAATCCATTCCATAATGGGGTCGCTTGATTGGTGGGTCCTGCTCGCTCGGAATTAACAGAACGTTTAATAAAACAAGTTGGAACAGAGTTCAGAACGCGTTCCACATGTGCCGAAAAAATAGTAGGTGCAGACAGAATTCAAAATGGCAGAGAAGAAATAGATGAGAAAAATGTGAATGTGACATATTCTGCTTCTGAATATTCTGCCAGAATTGGAACAGACAGAATCTGTTCAGAACACTCCATTCGAGAGCCAGTAAACATATATGAAAGACATTTTAGTATAATTGCAAATAGTCATCCTTGATCATTATACTAGAGACCTCTTGACCATAATGATGATGGAACTATATAACATTACTTACCTCTGGACCATAATGTTTTACAATACGAGAGAACTTATATCTAAACCATAGTGATGTACAACATCATAGCACTCACCTCTAGACCATAGTGATGTACAATATGACAATATTTACATCTAGAATATATACTGTTGTACAATATGACATAACTTACGTCTAGACTGTAATGTCTGTAATCTGGACCATAGTGTTGTACAACATGACAGAACTCACCTCTAGACCATAGTGTTGTACAATGACAGAAATTACATCTAGACCATAGTGTTGTACAATATGACATAACTTATGTCTAGACTGCAATGTCTGTAATCTAGACCATAGTGTTGAACAACATGACAGAACTCACCTCTAGACCATAGTGTTGTACAATATGACACAACATTAAAAATGTAACATCAAACAGTGAAGCTCTGGTTTGTGAAGCTTTTCCACCTTCTCCTGTAGAATGACGGGCAAATTCATTGACTCTGAAACAAAATCATCATATATCTGCCAATTGATTTGTGAGTTCTGCATGTTCATGATTCAGCTATTGCAATTGTTATGCAACAATAAAACTATTGGAACAGAGTTAAGAACGCGTTCCATGTGTGCCACAAAAATAGCAGGTGCAAACAGAATTCAAAATGGCGGAGAAGGAATTAGGCGGGAAAATTTTACATGTGACATATTCCACTCCATACCATTTGATTGAGGGCAGAATTTTAACAGAAGGGACTTGTTCAGAACTCACCAATCGAGTGCCACCAAGGACAAACCAACATGCAAAGAAAACTATAAATAGCCAACTTTCCCAGGGTCGGATAAATCAGGCAGAAAAATTTGTTCCAAGTAAAAATTTGTGACCAGAAATCCAAACTTTTCTTAAAAAATTAAAAAGTTAGTCAACTTACTTGATCAGTTTGATAGAAAAATTCTGTAGTTCCCCCATAGAAGCTGCTGCTGCTAATATAATCTCAAAACTCTTGCCAGACGTCATCTGACACAAAACACTTAACAATGGTTCCTGGCTCTTCTGATAGTCTGTATCTAATGTCTGAATATTTATACAATGTTTATACAATATTTATATACTATTTATACAATATATATACAAAATATGTAAAACATTGTAAGATATTGTAAATCTTTATACAGTATTTATACAATATTAATACAAAATATTGTAAATATTTGTAAAATATTGTAAATATTTGTAAAATATTTGTAAAATATTGTAAATATTTGTAAAATATTGTAAATATTTGTTTAAAAAAAAAAGTAAATATTTGTTTAAAAAAAAAGTAAATATTTGTAAAATATTGAAAATATTTGTAAAGTATTGTACAATATTTATACAATATTTATTCAATTTTTATACAATATTTATTCAATTTTTTATACAATCTTATTCAATATAATATACAATCTTATTCAATATTTATACAAAATAAGTACAATATTAAATGAATGAAATGAACAGACAGGGTGTGGGCACACAAACAGAATTGGTTGCTAATCTTTTGTTGCAAACTTGAATCAAGATTATCGCATTGCAGACATGATTTAATTTCAAACAAGGTCGATAATTGTCGCTGATGGTTTTATTGGCTACAACACAGAGTATCATCAACCAATCAGATTCATTTTTCCTTTTGCATGATAATCGACAAAGTGGAAAATTACAGACTGGTAAGATTTTTGTCTCCCTGTGTGCCCACTGTCAGTTGGTGAGACTCTTGACAAGATTCTAGTCAGTGACAAAAATCGTTGATTAAGATCGTTTGTGTGTCCGCACTCTTACATAGATGACATAATCTTAAAAAATAAACAAAGGCAGAGATTTGTCAGTGCAGTTTGTCATGTTTTGTGAAAAGCGCATGGTAGAAAGTGTTAAAATTAATGCTGATTGCTTCTACTAAAAAATATCAAATCAAAAAAAAATCTTGGTAATGTATCTAAGCTTTGTTGGAACAAAAAGTGCGAGGAAAATTGTTTCTGCTCTTGCCTGATTCAGTTAATTTGGAGACATATGCAGTGTACAATGAGGGAAAAATGGTTTAGACAGCACCCAATTTCCTTATTATCCATATTCATTTATGATTTTAAATTTTAAATTAGACCAAATTTTCGTTCCGTTTTTTATCAACTTTTGTTAAACATTCTTCAAAATAACCTTTTGACCTAACCTGATGACCTCTGCTTCAACCAATCAATTTCCTTCACTAACTCACAAAGTGCCGGAGAGGGCAGAAATTTGATTGGTTAAAGCAGACGTCATCAATTTAGGTCAAAAGGTTAATTTGACGAACGTTCAAGAGGGCTGTCGTTAGACCCTAACTGAAGTGGCTATATTTAAAATGAAAGCTATTAAAACACGTTACGAAAGTTTGGTCTTATTTTAATTAGAATCCAATTTCATTGCTGAAGGATCTTTGCACAGAAAAAGAATAGGTTTTGCATTCTATTCGACCAGACGCATTTCAGTCAGTAGCCTTGCATCACTGACAAGAGCAAAGGGCATGTGTCCCGTAAGATGCACACAAACATCACAATTACATGATTGTGCTAATAACATATACCAACATAGGTGGCGCTCGGTTGAAGAATTCTGAACAGGTTCCGTCAGTTCTGCCCTCAATCGAACAGCCCTCAGTATGCCACATTCAAAATTTTCCCATCTATTTCCTTTTCCACCATTTTGAATTCAACACCTACAATGTTTTAGGCACATGTGGATCACGTTCTGAACTCTGCTCCAACTAATTGAACGTTCAGTTGATTCCATGAACGTATATTACCCACCAATCGAGCGCCCCATATTGATATATCTTTTTTTAGTAGATATAAGACAATGGTGTACTATTTGTCTTTTTTGAAAAGTAACATAAAAACGTAAAACTACATAAGCAAAATAAAAACAAAGCAAAGAAAAAAAGCACTGAGCCAACCAGTGGGGAATACTATACCTCTACCTTAAGAATGGAGAGGACTGTAGCCTCGGCACGTAAAATGACTATACTGTTAGTTTGACTGGACGATCTTTCTAAAGCTCGACCTCTCTCGTTGTCTCTATGGATAGAAAATTGCAGTGCAAATTTAGAAATGAAAATGAAATGAATGGAATGGAGTTTTACTTCCTACTTTTCTGCACCATGTGGGCTAATGAAGACAGGAAATGCCATGCAGTGTGCAATGAGGGAAATTTTGCCAGGACAGTCGCATTAGCATGCTCTTTTTTCAATTTCCAACTGTCGAGGGATTGTTAAACGTGCACAGTCTGTACCACACGGGGCCTCGGTTTATTGACCCATCTGAACAACCAGACGCTTTTTCCATGTCAGCCCCTTTTACCTACATTACTGACAGAGGGAAACCAGGACTGAAAATTGAGAGCTTTGATTGCAAAAGATGGGTAAGGTACTAGTTTGAAGTTGATATTTCATTTCATCAAAGAATTGGGAAATATGTCGCTCACTAAGTTAAAGCAATATGTTCATTATTTATTTTCTATAGAATCTCACACAAATATATCAAGCAACAATTGAGTTCTATATACTGGAAATTAGGGCAAGAACCTTTAAAGACATTTTTAAGAGATTCACCAAATTTTTTATGTGAATCGGGGACACTGATGGCATCAATTTGCACCATTCCAATTTTCAATCTGATCTCTGTGGTTCCTGCAATTCCACTAAACCTAAGTGTTAACGTGAAGGACCTTATGTGGTAAAGCATATTTTTTGCGATTAATGATGTCATTAAACACTTAGTTATAGTGGAATTGCAGGAACCACAGACATCTGACTGAAAATTGGAATGGTGCAAATTGATGCTATCAGTGTCCTGGATACACATAAAAAATTTATTACAACCCTTTTAAGATTTTGACCAAAAATTGTAAAAAAAATATTATGTGAACAAGCTAATGAAAATGCCTACCTTTTCTGCATGATTCTTTGTTTATGTCTATCAGAGAGTAAATTTAGTTTGATACAACCTTGTATTAATTGTTCTACTGAGTCACACCTGAAATATTCAACAATAGTAATATTCCTTGACCATCACCGTCTAAACAAAAAAATCTTATCTTAATTAGATTATTGAAATGCAACACACCAAGATGGATGGGTTGACTTAAGGTGCAGGCACGAGTGGTCTTGGTCAGAGATTTTTGTCGCTGACTCGACTCTTGAGTAAAATCTAGCGTGTGCCCATACTTTCACAACAAGATTTTTAAAATCAAACCAGTTCGATAATAGTCTCCAACAATTTTATCGTTTGCAACACAGACTGTCATCATTTTCGTTTCAATTGCAAGATCCATACATGATTATCGACATGGTGTAAAACGACCAACTTGAGATTGTCTCCTCGTGTGCCTGTGCCGGGCGTGGACACTCTTGACAAGACTCTAGTCAGCAACAGAAATCACCGACCAAGACCGTTCACGTGCCTGTACCTTTGAGCTCATGGCACATGTCAGGAATTTGTTGTGGGTAACAGACTAAGCTATTACTGAAAAAGGTTTGTAATCTTCAAAAACACAAGCTGTTCTGATGGTTTTTTTTAACATACATATTATGTCCCAGAAAAAAAAAAATCACACATCTTACTTTTGTTTGGCGTCTGCTAAGTCTAATAAATTAGGATAGTTTAACAGTAACTCAAAACTCTGTTCCAAATCAACAGTGACATCTCTACCAATAGTATGGACTTGTAACTTCTGTATAATCTGTGGTATCTATAGCAGAGAAAAGATTTTTGGATTTTTCAACCTGGTATCCCTGGTTTCAGTGATGTAGGCAAGAGGGGCAGACATGGAAAAAGCATCTAGTCGTTCGGATGGGATAATAAACCGAGGCCCTGTGTGCTACAGGCTGTGCACGATAAAGATCTCTCGACAGTTGGAAATCGAAAAAGAGCAGGCTAATACTGCTGTCCTTGCAACATTTCCTTCATTGCACCCTGCATGGTGTTGCTCGTCTTCAATAGCCCACATGGTGCAGAAAAGTAGGACGTAAAACTCAGTTCTAAAAAATAATGAAATATATAATTGTGTACCTTGAGGAATGTAAAGGAAGCCCATTTCAACTCTTCATGGGAATCATTTGGGGTGTCTATCACTCCCATAAAACACGCTCTAAATATTTCAACATACAATTCTGGCCACGATAGCTTCTCAAACGACTGAAATAGAATAGAAAATTCAAAACTAGGATTACGAAATAAAAGTTTACATTGGACCAAACTTTCCTTCTGTTTTTTTTAGTTAGCTTTTATTCTTAATATAGCGGTAACCACCTCAGTTAGGGTCAAAGGGACCACCAATTTCACCAATCATACTTTAGTCTCAGTGGCGGGAATTTTATAGCTAAGCCAATCAGTATTAGTGTTCAAAGCTCACCATCAAAATTTTAGCCTTCAAATCCATGTGTGTCCAGAATTATGGGCGATTGAATGTTATAATGACAACTCGTGATATATTGAAAAGACATACATAGGAAAAGTGAGTAAAATTCCTAGTTTGAGATATTTTTAAAGGAAATATGCAATTTTCGTACATTTCTAGTATTTCTGAAGACTATTTACATATATTCAATATTAAAATCAACCCCCCATCAAAATTTTAGCCTTCAAATCCATGTGTGTCCAGAATTATGGGCGATTGAATGTTAAAATGACAACTCGTGATATATTGAAAAGACATACATAGGAAAAGTGAGTAAAATTCCTAGTTTGAGATATTTTTAAAGGAAATATGCAATTTTCGTACATTTCTAGTATTTCTGAAGACTATTTACATATATTCAATATTAAAATCAACCCCCCTAAATGGCGGACCTGTCCCTTTAAACGCTCATCAGATTAACCTTTTGATCTAACCTGCTAAACACCTCATCACAAAATGCCAGCGCTGAAGAGGGTAGAAATTTGATTTGTTAAAGCAGACGTCATCGAGTTATGTCAAAAGGTCTAGAAAAAGTAAAAGGAATTTATGGAAAATAAAATCTTTCTACTTGTGCTAATGACATATCATGAAATCCATGAAATGAGTTGCCAGATTTAATGTTTTCCAAGTCTCAGGAAATATCAAATCTGGCAACTCATTTTATAAATTTCGGAAATTCAAAATTTTCCTATCTATTTCCTTCACGGGCTTTCTGAATTCTGTCAGCACCTATTATTTTTCGGCACACAGGGAACGCCGTCCGAAATCCAGAAAGTACAGAACTCACCAATCGAGCGACCTGCAACACTCGTTTAAGATCTTCTATATGGAAAACAAAAATTTCACTTACTGTTAGTCGAGCTAACACCAATGTCTGATCTACAAATGGCTGTAACTGATTAGTAGCATTTAACACAGCTTCTAGTCCTACTAGAGTATTTACTGTAGAACTGAGTTTTAATTTAAGTGGACCTTCTTCATGTTCACATGGTAACGTCATATCTTGTAATCTATAATCAAAAATAGCCTCACAGTTTTAAAATAGACCATTAAAGAGATTGTAAAAAGTTTTTCTAAATTTTTTATGTGTTTATTCTTGACACTGTGATAACATCAATTTCCACCATTCAATTTACAATTAGACGTCTGCGGTTCCTATAATTCCAATAAAACAAAGTTTTTGATAACATCACTAATTGCTAATCATGTTTTATCACAAGCCCTTCACGATTAGTGACATCATCAAACACTTAGTTTTAGTGGAATTGCAGGATCTACAGACGTCTGATTGAAAATCGGAATGAAGTAAATTGAAAAAATTAGAAGTGTGTTTCAATAATTACTTAGTTTAATGGATATATCATCTTATATAGAGATTCTATTCTTTAGTCATGGTACCTGGTAAGTCTAACTGATGAAGTTTGAGGCTTTAAATTTTATGTCCATTCTAAGAGGTAATATACCTTTAAATGAATCAAGAATATAAAATTAAAATCTTACTGAGCCAGTGATGTCAACATATCTGAGACTTTCTCTACCGTAGTTGATGGTAAAATACCAGTTGACTGTGATAACTGAGACAGTGTTCCTCGTACGTTTACTTCACATTGTTCAAATTCACGATATTTATCTGAAATATACAAATATTATTACATCTCAAGATTGACTTAAAGAAACAGGTTCGCCATATTGGTTTGACCAATCGAAACCTTAGTCTCAGAAATGCGCATTTTTTTAAACTAAGCTAATCAGTAATAGTGTTCACAGCTAGCCTTCAAATACATGTTTCCAGAATCATTAGCGTTAGAAAATTAAAAGACATATAGAAAGAGAAATTCTTATTTTTGAAGGAATTATGTGAATTTGGTACATTTCTAGTGCTTCTGAAGACTATTCAAGACCCAAATCAATACCCAAAATGGTGACTGCAAGAATTTTTCTACCAAATGCCTGTCAAAAAGGCAGTATTTTTAACCAATCAAAGAATGTGAAATGCCTCTCTTGATAAAATATGGAATTTTGGGATAGTGAAACCTATAGTAGAGCAAATGACAGCCTCTTGGGGTTTTGCTATCCCACAATTCCTTATGTTATCTAGAAGCTTTTTTGATTGGTTGAAAATACTACCTTTAGGACTGGCCTTTGGGTAGGAAACTCTTAAGATTACAATTTAGACTAAAATATCAGAGAATTAAATTCAACAAAAACCAAGCTAATATTATACCTGCAGTCTCAGCCCGTGCTATCTGTAATAACGTACACACTGTTTTCTTATCAACTGTTTTCTGTATAGCAGAACTGGCTCTATCAATAATACTGGGGATTTCTGGTGTAGATTTTCCCTCCTGTGTTTTCTGTAGGCATCTATACACATGATTTAACAGCCAATGAACTAGCATTAATAATGACTTACACATCTGTAGAGAACTGTCCATTCCATAGCTGAAACTAGAAAATGAACATCTTTGTTGATGAAGGCATCGTGTCCAAACCACACCCCCAATTAGTCATATTTCCTTGGGGCCGTGGTAATACAAGTGAGGGAAAATTGCATAAACAGCTAAATATTGTCCAATCGAGTTTGTCCCTAAATCTTTCTAGTAAAATTTCAGCCAATAAAATCAAAGTGAATCACTTGTTATAGACGATCTCTTCAGGAACGTAAAAAAACGAAAGTAGCATTTCATTTAATGCTTTGATTAATATGGACCATACAGAAACGAGTCAGATTTTCTGTAAAGCCTGCCGCAGATGAGACAAACTAACTGAGCTGCCTGCCTCAAGAAGTTGGGCGCTGAGTCGTTTTCTCCATGTGCTCTGAATTTTTAGTGAGATTTCTGCATTGAGGCCATCTTGTTTGATATATTCTGCCTCAAAAGGCCAGAAATTCACTGCTGCCAGCTGAGCTAGATAAAGAAGCTAACCAATAGAAATGCGTTGACGGATCACATTATGATAACATGAATGATGCAATTTTAGAAGATCAACTTATATGTCAAGACTACCCTTGTCTTTACGTGTTATTCTGCAGAATTCCAAAACAGGGAAATGTGTCCATTTTGATTATGACATGGATGCGGTCTGAGCGTTCTTCAGTTGTTTTCCTTGACATACAAAATTCATCGAAGATTTTCTAGTGAGACAATAGTTTAGAGCTCTCGTCTGTGGTGAAAAAAGTAGTCAAAATCTCGAGGCAGCGAGCTCAGGCAGTTCCTCTTGTCTGCGGCAGAATTTAGGAATTGAAGCGGACAGTAAATCAAGACCGTAATTAGGAATAACATCATAGATGCAGATAAGGGCTGAATACTTTTCAAACCTTTAATAATAAAAAATGAAATTTAAAATACCTTATTTTGGTGGCAAATGTTTCAGCTAAGTCTATTAAAGCCATGATACAGTAAGGTTTACTAAGATCATCATAAGTGGAGATATGTTTAAACATTACACTGTGTGGTACTACCTACAAAATGTATGATGAACATTTCATTAAAATAGATAGTCGGAAACATCTGCCTCTATTCCAGCCTCTCATAGATATTTTGACAGTTATCAGCTGGAGAAGAGTCAGAAAAACTAACCCTGTTTTATGGGGATTTTTCAAACATCCGTCGATGCGCTTTTTTCTAGCATATTAAATTACCTTGACTGTAAATTAGTGTTGGGCATCATTATAACTTCATTTTGATGACATAAAACACATATTATTTAGGAATAGAAAGTGAAATTTCTAGTTTGAGGTATATTTGAAGGAATTATGTGATATTCGTACATTTTTATTAAAGCACAATTAAGACCCAAATCATTCCCCAAAAATGCCGACTGTTCCCCTTTAAGGATGAATAATGCAAATTTTTACCTGTGACAGAACAATATGTTTTAAATAATCCAATAATAGAGATTTTGGACTGCTTCCAACTAGTGCCAACTGTAACAGGATTTCTGTAAATTAAAAGAATTCTATTACATTGTATTCTTATTGTATGGTTTAACCTCATAAAATAAAAAATGCTACTGGCACCAATGCATGTTTATAATGAATCTTGCTCAAATTTGAAGTGAAAAAAAGCAGAAATTCATGTAGATATGTTGACTTCTAAAGGAAATGCTGAAGTGGCCTTGGGAGTTGGAGTGCCCAGCCTCACCTAGCTACATGCTACAATAATTGCTGTACTGAAGCTGCTATAAAGTAAAGGTTTTGATGGAAATATCCTTTAAGCTTAAAGGGATTGTGAAGAGGTCTTCTAAAAAATTTTATGAGTACATGGGACACTTATAGAATCAATTTGCACCATTCCAATTTCCAATCAGACGTTTGTGGTTCCTGCAATTTCTGAAAAAACATGTGTTATGTTATCTGCAATTCTTCTAAAACTAAGAGTTTGATGACGTTACCATTTGCAAAATATGCGTTATTACATAAGACCTTTATTGCGATTAGTGACGTCATCAAATACTAATTTTCTTGAGAAATTGCAGCAACCACATGCATCAGATTGAAAATTGGAATTTTTGTACAAAACCTCCTTACCATCAATTACATTACAATACCTAGCACATTGACCTACCCGCCAAATCAACATCTTCATCAGAATGACTGGCTAAAATACGTTTTAACTGTACACCAAATTGTACTTCAGACCACCGCTCAGTCCATGCCCTCATCAAAGTCCTTCTGATTTCACTAACCAGCCCTAAGATGGGTTCTGTTTCTTTATTACCTCCACTGCCTATTGCCTCCATTTTTATCTCCATTTTTTCAACCTAAGAGAATTCAATGAAAATGTTACTTTATTACAAACAAAAGATGAGATAAAAATTGCATTATAACTGGATCATAAGCGTGAAGTTTTGCCTCTTACCTCCTTACCTCTGACCAATTGGGCTAATGAAGACTGTTCAATGAGGGAAACTTTGACAGTCCAATGCAATGGATAAACAATGTCTTTTTCGATTTGCAACCTGTACAAGAATCAGAAAAGAATCAATAAACCTTGAAAGAATGAAATGACGACGTTGTCAGAAAGAAAGGGTCAAAGAAACTTACAAAAGAAACTCCAAAGAATCACTTGATATATCTTATGTTTTCAACGTTTTCTTTCTTCCTCTATATAAATTTTTCATTTCATTGAGGCCGCCATTTTAATAGTCCCGCAGAAAATTTATTTTTTGGAAAAAATAAAACAAGATAAAATAGATGTAAATTATAAAGCTATTTTAATTTTTATAATGTGTTGAATTTATTTCATTGTCGCTTCACATATTTTCAAATCGTTAAGTTTCTTTTATATCTGTTTATCTACATTCTCGGGGAAAAGAAGTGAGATTCGAGTGGGTTGAAAAGAGGACTCGTTTCCCAAATTTGGTATTAAAAATTTGTTGATTGTGTGGAATAATTTGTTGGAATTAACGTTTAAGAATGGAAGAAGGGGGTCATCAACATGCACCAAGGTAAAAAATTTAAAATTTCCTTTTATTTCGTTTATTCAAAATTAATTTGTTCACGAACCAAAAAATGGAGTTACCCCCCTTTAATTTTAAGCACTTTGTACTCTACATTTAAGATCACATTTAAATTCTCCATACGCATAGATTTAGGATACCGGTAATTAACGTTATTTCCTAAAAGGAACAACATGTCCGCCATCAGTTTGACCAGACGTACCTTAGTCTCAGAAAAGGGATTTTTTTTTTTTTAGCTAAGCCTGTCTAATCAGTAGACTAATGAGCCCTGGTATCATTGTAGGCCTATATCCACATCTATAGTTAAAATGACGACTCACCATTTCTCGTTAAAATGACGACTCATCATTTAATGCGACTCTGTCATATACAAATATAGAAAAGATATATATTTGAAGGAATTGTGCGCTTTTTGTACTTTTCTATTTTCGACTATTTACATATACTCAAGATTCAAAATCAACCCTCGAAAATGGCGATTCTCTTCCTTTAATATTTATAGGCCTATTATAATTTTTTCAGCCACCAATCTTACCATTTAGATGACAACGAATCGACAGAGATCATCCCAATCGTCAACATGGATGCTGGAGTTCAACAAATGACAACCCTTGCATCTTCAGCAGAAAACGACATGGTTACCAGCGATCTTATTTCAGTTCCCTCGGAGCTGGCTGACCAGACGCAATGGGCTATCCAAAGTGGCAATGAGACCATCATATCTTTTCAATCCCTACCAATTCAGTTACAACACCTGGATCCTGAAACACAATTCGCCATTCGTCAAAATCTTGTAGCTGACCCAAACGATCCAACAAACCAGTCCATCATAACGTATGATGAAAATGGCGATGCTGTAGTAAGCAAATTTGACATGGCTAAGATTGTTGATGGTAGGTGTCAAGATTCTGAATGACCAGGATATCTGAAGTTACAGATATGCTTGTATTTAGAAAGCCGACAATGGAGCGACTCTCCTAAGCACAAGCACAGGCATCAGAGTTTTTGTTTAACCCACGGCACCTTACCTCCAGCAGACGACATTCCAACTCGCTACCCACCATGCATGTCTGAGGGATTTCTAAAATTCGCATAATTGAGATCATTTAATTCTTGTAGGTCTGAATGTAGTCCGAAACATCTGCAAGTATTCCAGCCTCTGATAGATATTTTGACATACATCGGCTGGAGTAGAGTCTTTCCAATATATATGGGTTTGGCTGACCTGATTTAAATAAATAGGTTTAAAATCCCCACCAAACAGGGCCAATTTTTTCTGTCTCTACAACAGTCCACAACTCTCAAAGTAGCTATCATAGGCTTGAATGGTTTGCATAGAGATCGTCTTGTATAGAGATTCTATTCTTTAGTCATGGTACCTGGTAAATCTAACTGATGAATATACTGTTATTGACCAAGTTTGAGACTTTAAATTTTATGTCCATTTTAGGTGGAGAAATATCTGGCAATGTTTTCGAATTGAACAGAGATGTCCAGAACGATCAGGAGTCGTTACTTTTACTGCAACAACAAAACGACCAAACCTCTTCAGACCGGTTAGTCGTGCCTTTAGACTCTATTACTCAGAACGGTAACCAACATGTACAACAGACAACGAATCACCTTCCACTCGGCAACAATCAAATATTAGTAAGTATCATTTATGTGTCTCAAATTACATCTTTTGGTGATGAACATTGCCCCCTGTTTTTCACCAAAATATGCGTCACAATTTTTGGGAGAACAGTCACTATAGAGTCAGCCTGCCCCTTGTTTGTACCGCCAGTCTCGTGAGGCCGCCGCTACTGTTTGACAACCATGGAGATGACGCAAATGAATTAATTCATTTTGCCAGATTTGTGATCGTTGAAAGTTCCCCATTCTGAGATGTGTCCTTAATCTCCATCTAATTGATGTCGCCATAATTGTTATGTCGTTCTTATTGTTAAAGGGGCATTCCGTTTTTCGTACGACAAAAATATTTTTTGCTCAAATTTGTGAAAACTATACTCAAATATGTAGAGAAATTGGCCCTTTAACGTACGTATCTAAAAGTGTAAAATTTTTAAACGCTATAAAAACGTTACGTAAGGTTTTTAAGTTCGTTATGCTTTTTGGAAGCTGTTAAAAAAGTAATGCACAAATTTGAGTAAAGTAAAGGAATATGTCTCCTAATTACCAATAAGTACTCTCCGTTTTAATTAACCCTTTTAAAACAAATTCAAAGAAATAATATAAATAGCATCCTTTAGAAATATTCTCGGATATAAACTGATAAGGAAAATAGCGGAATCCCCCTTTAACATCATAAAATATTTGTCAGGTATTTTGTCGCGTATCAGCAACTCTATCAACAGACGTGATGCAGATTATCCCGGATTATGAAACAGTCATCTGGTCAGAGATCCAAACAGAACCGGATGTACAGATGGAGATGACGGATACTAACCAGTGTACAGTGTACGGTAGCATTGATACCATTGTAAAGCTGAACAATAAGCTACAGGAGTTACTGAATGGTAAACTCGCCAGAACGTTTCACGTCAAAGACGAGAAGCAGACGTCCGATGTTAAGGTGCAATGTGATATTTTGGTTCCTCACATCTCTTCTCGAGGTCGTCAGGTTCATCAACCTTCTAGATACACTGGTAAGTTTACTGAAAGGGACAGAATCGCCATCCGTATGACCAATCGTACCTTAGTCTCAGTGAAAGTGCACTTAGGGCGATATTCATATCAACAAAATCACCATTAATTAATTGATTTTGACGTTACTAATCGTTAAATATGCTTTGCGATTAGTGACGTCATCAAACTAATTGATAATTGGAATGTTGCAAATTGATGCTAACGGTGTCCCCGATACCCATAAGTTTTTATGGGGCTCAAAACGACATAAAATGAAATGAACTTCCTATAATCTCGTTTTTTTTAAAGGATTTTACAAAGACCCAGTGAGCGAAAATGAAAATGACAGTGACGATCATGTACATAAAAGAAAACCGAGAAGAAGATATTTACGTTCACAGAAATCGACAGATTTGGAGCCTGAAAATTCAAAAGGTTGGTTAATAATGGTCCCGTCTAATTTAACTTTGGGGTCTTGCGGTGGCTCAGCAATCTAGACGCTTGCTCGTTCGTTAAAGACCCCTCGACAGTTGAAAATCGAAAGGGAGCAGGCTAATGCCACTGTCCTAGCAAAATGTCCCTCATTGCACCCTACTTACCGTTGCTCGTCTTCAATCGTCCACATGGTACAGAAAAGTAGTAGGACGTAAAACTCCATTCATTTCGTTTCATTTTCTAATTTATATTAGACCAAACTTTCGTTCCGTTTTTATTAGCTTTTATTTTTAATATAGCCACTTCAGTTATCAAGTTAGGTCAAAAGGTCAAGTTGACGAACGTTCAAGAGGCCAGTCGTTTTACCCTAACTGAAGTGGCTACATGAATGATATTTGAATACAATATAATTTTTCTTTTCAGTCCCAGAACCCATCTCCAAACCATTCAAATTTGCTTGTGCACAGTGTTCGTTTAAAACGGCACGGAAGAGTCACATGGACAAACATTCATGTTTTCATGAAAATCGCAACGTTCAACTGTTAAAATGCAAACAATGTACGTTCGTAGCCATTAGACGATGTCATTTAAATCGTCACGAACTTCAACACCATAGCACTACGATCCACTCCTGTGACAAATGTACATTTACGACCAACCAAGCGTTTTATTTACGGCGTCACAAGCGTCTGAAGCACAAAGCCAACAAGAATTTCTTTACTTGTCCGGACTGCGACTTCACAACTAATCAACGAGTGAATTATACCAGGCATCTAAAATTACATGTGGTCACAGGAGAAAAACAAATCTACAAATGTGACACTTGCAATTATAAGACGGACGTGAACGCACGGTTTCAGCGTCACATGACGGACGTTCACGGCGACGCTAGACCTTATTTATGTGACGATTGTGGCAAATCCTTTAAAAGAACTGACGCGTTGAAAGCTCATAAAATAACCCATTTACAGCGAAAGGATAGAAATCTACCTCATATTTGTGAGATCTGTTCTAAAGGATTTGGTTCCAGGGTAAGTTCTGATGTAATCGCTTCTTATCAATATATCGGGGCATTGTTGGCTGAATTTACGGACATGTCCCCTCGGGCCTGTTTTTGATGTGAAATTAAGCCCTCATCCCCGGGCCACTGGCCCCAAGTGTCATCCTCAGCTACTTTCTAGATACGCATATATCGTATATGCACTTAGTAATTGATATTCGACCGACCCACCGCTGTCGAAGCCTGTAGGGGATATGCTATCCAACCAATTTACGCGTCCCATCGTGTGTGGAAATTTGATACGAAAAAAGGGCGTATCTGCCACTGTGGTGGAGCCAGGTTTACGTCCGGGGGGGGGGGGATACCTAACTACTTACCATTTAACTCCTTAATTTAATCAATTTCAGGCTCATCTTAAAGAACACGAGATAACGCACAAAAAGGAGAGGCCGTATTTATGTCATCTGTGTGGAGCGTCATTCAAGACTCAATCCGTACAGAAAAAACACATTGCAACAATCCACGTGCATCCGGGTTCATTCACTTGTGACGTCTGCAACAAAAGTTTTAATACAAGATTTACTCTAAGTCGCCACAAACGAACGCACGATAATCCACCTCAAGTCGTTACCAACGTCAGCATAGTGAACCTAAATGTAGCAGACACAATCGAACAAACTGACCATTCATTAGTCTCGGATGTTATCGACGAGAATATGGGAGAACCTTTCGACCAATCAGATGCTTTAAGACAGACGTATACGCCAAACGAGACTACAACGGCTCTGTTTTATTTAGCCGAAAACTTAACTCTTTAGAATTAAAGGGATTGTCAAGAGGTTTTCTAAATTTATTGTTTTATGTAACTGGGCTACTGATAGCATCAATTTGCACCAATTTGTGTTTGATGACATCACTAATCGAAAAATACCACTCAAGGCGCTTTGCGATTATAAATGGTTAGTTTTAGTGGAATTGCAGGAAGCTTGAAAATTGGAATTGCGCAAATTGATGCTATCAGTGTCCCCGATACACATAAGGTTTTCTGGGAAAACCTCTTTACAATCAATATAATAAATCCTAATGTGATACAAGAGTATCATTTGTTGATTTGGTTGTTAAGATCTTACCGATTTTCAACTTTCATTTCAAAGTCCCAGAAGTATTTTAGCAGCAGACATCACATGGAATGAAGTTAAAGGAAACTGCAACTGAGCTACGATTGGTAAAACGGATGGCGAACCTAAACCTTTAACATTAGAATTCATGGGTAGCAAAAAGTTTTATTTTTGATGAAAATGCACAAATTTTACAATTTTTTACCTTTATTGAAAAGAATTATAATCCAGTAATTTGATATATTATATGTAGCCTATTTTAATGTAAATGGTTCTCCATTTTCGGAGTTGACTTGGGTCTTAAAGATATGTCAATTATCTTCAGAAGTACAAGAACTGTCCAAAAATCGCAAAGCTCCAGCTAAAAGAAGAAATTTCACTTTTATTTCGTTCACAATAAATTTCCTTTTCTGCTCCTCTGTAAAAATTGGTTTTCCAAAGTAGTACGTCTTTTTGGCATCCAAACATCTTTCGTGGCAGCAGCTGTGCGAAGACGAAGTGGGACTGGATGATTGAGGCTACGGATAATCTTGTAAAAAATGAGTAGTCAATTCAACTGTCAAACACGGATATTTATGGATACACATTGCTAAGAAGGCTCAAATTACGTCGGTGAGCTGTGAACACTATTATTGTTTAACTAAGCTGCACCATTTCCGTTTCTGAGACCAAGGTACGATGGACCTCCGAAAAAGGTGAACCATGGCTCAACGACCACAGGAACCACTTATAAGGAGACACACTAAAAAAAAATACTGGGGAGAATATGTTGAAAAAAGTTCGACAATCCTAATATTTGTATCTAACATCTGTCTCTATTCCAGTCTCTGATAGCTATTTGGAAAGTTATCGGCTGGAGGAGAGTCCGAGAAAATAGGCCCTGCATCTCCACAGCTACGGGGTTTTCAAACTTTTTTTAGATACCTCGGAAAATAGTATGCAAATCCCAGATTTATTTGAAAAGATAAATATTCTTGTAGTTCACTCATACCATCATTTTTATACGCCCACATGAAATAGGGATGTATATTGATGTCACTCCGTCCGTCCGTCTACAATTGCTCGTAACCACTCGACAAGGCACAATTCTTGACAGTTTTGGATGAAATTTGGTATGGTTGTTTGTAATCCCCCAAGGATAAACCCTCTTGAAAATCAGAAAATTGAAAAATATTTATTATGGGTTATTGCCCTTGTTCTTAATGCGCTCGTAAACACTTTAGAAGGCGCAATTCTTGACTGATTTTGATGAAACTTGGTGTTTGTTATTACCCATTTAAAACTAGAAAGATCGAAAAATTATTATAATTAATAAGAATTATTGCCCTTGTTCTTGAAAAGGCGTTCAATTTTAGTTTGTAAACGCTCTAGAAGGTTCTAGAAAACTAAAATTAAACAAAGTTTGTGCATTAGATGGTATTCAAAATGAATTTATACATCATTTCAAGAGTGAACTTGTAACTGTATTAGTCACTCTCTTTAATAATGTCCTCGACTCAGATAATTTTCAAACAGTTTGGGCAACTGAAATCTTAGTACCCGTCTTTAAGAAATGCGATGCCAATGACACTGATAACTGGACTCAATCCACTAATTCATTTGCCATCTCTTCCCATGTTAAAACACGAAATTCAACCTTCTACAACTTTTTCCAGAAATCTCGTTGAAAGCCTTTCCAATATATCGAATGAAAGCCTGACCAATTCTCAATGTCTCCTAAAAAATTAAATATATGATGACCATGAAAATTTGGAGCTACTAAAAGTGAAAGTAGACTACTACCGGATATATAGGACGCACTCCAGTAAAATATTTTATGCAAATGATTGTATAGGAATGTAGTCCAGGCTATTTTTAGAAATCTTCTTTCTCTCTCCCTTTTGGGGTTTTTGCATGCTTATTTTTGGGTAAAATTTGGTCTAGATTTGGAATTTGATGTCTGAAATTGCATTATCTTTCAGATTTGGTGAGATGATGAAAGACCTAAAGGCGGAAGTCTAATTCTAAAAATAGTCGCTTTGTGAAGTGCCAAAATCTAGCGGATGAGTATAACCGGTAGTAGTCTACTTTCAATTTTAACTTGCCGATTAAAGTTGCCGATATTCGGCTCTTATAGGCCATATAGACGGAAAACGTCCAATAGCTAACTTTGCCAAATACACCGATTTGGCCCATGTTTTGGGTTTTTCCTACTAATTAGACCCCAGGGACCCGGAAAAACACTTAAAACCCAATTAAAAACAATTAGGGAAAAAAATAGATTTTTTTTACTTTCAAGGGACTACTGCACGAAACATGCTTATACACAAATAAATTTTTATTTTGAAAAGTTACCAAGCTACAAAGCTGAAATTTTGCACGCATATGCACATGGGCCCCCTACACATTTAGAAAAAAACAGAACAGAGAAATCTCCCATAGGGAAAAAGTTAGGCCAGGAAAAGTTGCCGATATTCGGCTCTTATAGGCCATATAGACGGAAAACGTCCAATAGCTAACTTTGCCAAATACACCGATTTGGCCCATGTTTTGGGTTTTTCCTACTAATTAGACCCCAGGGACCCGGAAAAACACTTAAAACCCAATTAAAAACAATTAGGGAAAAAAATAGATTTTTTTTACTTTCAAGGGACTACTGCACGAAACATGCTTATACACAAATAAATTTTTATTTTGAAAAGTTACCAAGCTACAAAGCTGAAATTTTGCACGCATATGCACATGGGCCCCCTACACATTTAGAAAAAAACAGAACAGAGAAATCTCCCATAGGGAAAAAGTTAGGCCGGGAAAAGTTGCCGATATTCGGCTCTTATAGGCCATATAGACGGAAAACGTGCAATAGCTAACTTTGCCAAATAAACCGATTTGGCCCATGTTTTGGGTTTTTCCTACTAATTAGACCCCAGGGACCCGGAAAAACACTTAAAACCGAATTAAAAACAATTAGGGAAAAAAATAGATTTTTTTTACTTTCAAGGGACTACTGCACGAAAGGTGCTTATACACAAATAAATTTTTATTTTGAAAAGTTACCAAGCTACAAAGCTGAAATTTTGCACGCATATGCACATGGGCCCCCTACACATTTAGAAAAAAACAGAACAGAGAAATCTCCCATAGGGAAAAAGTTAGGCCAGGAAAAGTTGCCGATATTCGGCTCTTATAGGCCATATAGACGGAAAACGTCCAATAGCTAACTTTGCCAAATACACCGATTTGGCCCATGTTTTGGGTTTTTCCTACTAATTAGACCCCAGGGACCCGGAAAAACACTTAAAACCCAATTAAAAACAATTAGGGAAAAAAATAGGTTTTTTTTACTTTCAAGGGACTACTGCACGAAACATGCTTATACACAAATAAATTTTTATTTGAAAAGTTACCAAGCT